TGGGATCATACCCACAGCACTCAGCGTAGTAGTAAGCGGCGTGGCGACCGCTAAAACCACTACGCCATCCGTGCAGTCAAAGTACTCGTAAGTAAGTAAAAAAGTAAGTTCTCCGTCAACTCGTAGTTATTAGTTAGTACTGCCGTTAGTCGACATGCTATGAATGGGCATGTAACTACTTTTTTATCAATCTTAAAACCTCTCCTGACACCTTAAAATAAGTATATTTAGCTTAATTTAATACCTACTTAATAGCTTTACGTACTTACTTAGTAACACGTAGTTCATTTTACAACGAACTTAAGTACTTATTACATTAACCCAAATTAATTGATAATAGTTTAATCAGGGTCAGTTTCTTCTCTGGAGCACCTCAGTGGCGACTTCCACTTATAACAAAACATAAATGTATTTACTAAACTAAGTAATCCATCGAATAAAGACGTATAGAACTGCCGAGTAAATACTATTTCTGCATAGCGCAATGAAAGTTAGATTAGTCCAATACAACTTCCTAACACAAATTGTCGCCTGCATTATTTCCGAACCGACCTTCAAGAAAAAAGCGTGTTCACATCTAAAAAGGCCGACCGCGCGCTTGTGCCTCCTGAGTTGCAGGCGATCATGAGCGTCGGTAGTTACTTTCCTTTAGGTGACCCTTCTACTTGTTCGCCCCCTGTATCATGTAAAACAAAACGGCATGAGGGGTCTGTGGAATCCCGGTCGGAACGATGTTCCTTTCGCTCTGTGATATGATATCTTATATACTACTAGCTGAGACCCGCGGTGTTACCCGCGTTTGTTGTTACAACCGCGGGCAACGCCGTGGGGCGAAGCTAGTCTAAAAAAGTAGCCTAAGTTACTCCTTATGTCATCAGCTATCTGCCAGTGAAAGTCCCGTCGAAATCGGTCCAGCCCTTCCAGAGATTACCCGGCACAAACAGACAGACAGACAGACAGACAAAAATTGTAAAAAATGTTATTTTGGCATATGTACCGTGTAAACATACATATGCATTTAGTAAAAAGCGGTTATTTTAATATTACAAACAGACACTCCAATTTTATTTATTTCTATAGATAGTATATTTTCATTAAGAATTTTACTAAGAATATAATATAATGTACTATGGATTTGTATGTCTTAAAAAGATCTACATAAAAGTCCGCGATGGTATATGGCTATCTCCTAAGGATAACCAACAGTAACCAATTTTTTTATTTTGCCAAAAAAAATTACTTATTTACGAAGCCTACATATATCATCGCAGACTTTTATGTAGATCTTTTTAAGATATATAATTCCATAATACAATATTTTGGTATCTTGGCTATCTCGTAATGTTTAGCCAGCGTTTGCAATGTAAGCCCACAAAAACATGTTTTTTTTTTTACAAATCCGGTCAGAGCGTGTAACGCGCAAAACTTCGTTGCAAAAAAAAACATTCAGAAGTTATCGACTTATAGCGATTGCATTGAATGATTCCTTATAACGACTAAGTAACAATGACTTAAAGTCAGTACAGTAAATGTCATTTACATCAAAAACTGTTTTGGTTCAATTAACACTATACTGGCTACTAAAGACTCAAGATTATGAATTCGTCTAAATGCAGATGAGGTAGTCTTTTACATTCTGCACGTTAATTAATTAGACGTGAAAATGTATTTTAATTTGCACTAATGTTTAATTATAAGGTATTTGACATGGGTAACGAGTAACACACGAGAAATCTGAGAAACTAATGTTTGTAACTGTTTTTCTAATGGGTCTAGACTCATGCTATCATTGACATTGTATTCACAAGCATGGGACAAAACGTTTTAGGACGATACCATCTCGCCGTTCGATTTATGTATGTGTCTTTATATATTGTGTATACTTCTGGACTTCTTCTTGGTCACATTTTTTTTTTTACAACTTTATGCACTTATGTACAACGGCGGGCTTAATGCCCAAGGCATTCTCTACCAGCCTACCTTTGGGAGGTGTAGAAATCTGGTGAGAAATCTGGTGACATTTAATATTTTATTATTGCACCTACTACTACTACTTGCTACCTACTATGCACATTATATTTCTACATCACCTGAAGGTTGACTGGGAGAGAATACCCCATGGCATTAAATCCACCTTTCTACAACATGTGCATTAAGTTTTAATAAATAAAAATAATCACAGAGTTTTTTTTTACATACATACTATCTCCAATAGGATACCCTTTGTTACTACCGTTAGTAATGGGTGTTAAGCACTAGCCACTTAAATTAAGTTCTTCTTCCGTGCCTGTTTCCCAAACAGTTGGGGTCGGGTTTAGGTCTACTAAAGTATGACTGCAATCGGACCTCCACAATCCAAGTACTAGTAAGTATTTAAGGCGCAGATTGGCACACCGTGTGGTTTTAGTCCGATTCTGATACACCACCCCGTTACCACATTATTCATAATAATGAATAGCAATTGTACTGATTCAATGGTTACGTTGTCTCTCACGCTAGATCTATTAGCTATGCAAAACGTACTACTAACTATTCACCGGTAGGCCCCAGTATTTTTTTTGCCTATTAGAGTAAACTGTCACTAATAAAAATGCGAATATATGTCTTGGAATCTGCATAACTCGGAAGTTGCTATTTCTTCGTGTAAGATCTTCTAAGAAGTACTTTCTAATGCACTTTCACAAAGATAAATGAACTTAAATTATTGAACGTGAGAACTACATAAAATTTATTTACAGTACCGGAGTTCTTTTAGTTGGGCTAAAACAACTGTTGGCGGCTAAATTAGCATCACTAGGTAAAGATATTTTTTGCAGATGATTGGGAATGACTACTAGGTATTACTGTACTGTAGCTATGTCTACACATCTTTATACAAACCGCTCACGTTTCGCACCTGGAGTAAATATTTACATTATCAATCTTCGCTTTGTATGGAAGAAGAGCCCATTGCCAGCTGCCGGGTGCCTTGTCTAGACTGCGGGAAATCGAAAACATTTCTCAGATAGTAATTCAAGCAAAGACTCATCACGGGTTAAATTCTACTTGTCTACGAAGAAATAAATATTCTTTCATAATTAAGCAGGTGCAAAATATTTGAATATGCTTTTGGGAGATTTACTTATAGCTGTAGTAATAATGGAGCAAACTTGGCCTCATTGTCATCTCCTCCGAATTTAAGGCTGACGAAAGAAAAAAGTTTTTGACACCCCTGCCCCTTGCCACACAATGTCACATTCCGGTGACCCCCCCCCCCCCCTCCCTTCTCCTGTAACGTGTGACGTTATTTATGGATGGCCTTCCTTATTTTCACTATTTCAATCTTTTAAACGAATGATCTTTCACGGTTCAGGTTAAAATTTCAGGAAAATTTAAAGAAAAGTTTCAAGAGATGAAGCCTACTTATAAGCACATTGACGTAGATAGCGTAGACGTAGAAGCTTCTTAAGTTAATGCAAAAGTTAGAAGTAACGGACAAACATAACGATAAAACAATGTGTAGACTTAAACACTATTACGCAATTAAAATTGAGTACAATGTATTGTAGGATATAGGATATTCTTACTTCCTAAATTCACAATGTAAGTAGGTAATTCTCCTTGTTATTTTTAATACATTAATTTTAAAATATTTAGCTTTAATGCCGAGTTCAGATCTTAGAAAAACAGTACAATTACTCTTTGTTGTCAACATTTTGAGCTGCGTCTTTTATACTTACTAAAATTTATAATTATATTATTATATAATTAACGGATATCATAGAATTATTTGTACACATCTGATAAAAATTGCAATAAATTTAACTTTGACATGTATTTTTTTTTTCTAAAATCTCATTGAAGTGACTTTATGCATTTTCTTATATCATGGGCTCCCCTCGTGCGTCATAGGGACCTATTGCATTAAAAAGATTATGTATTAGAATGAATTAAAGTCATTTAATGTTTCCACTATCAGCGGTGGAAAAAGCCTCTGCAGGTTTTCAAAAATGTAAGGGGAGGAAATCGAAAATAAATATTCGGGCGCATCAGATATTTTGAAGTCAAAAATCTTGCTTTCCACAAGTACAAAATTGACAAGTCAGAGTCTGAGTCACAATCAGAATCTGGTATTCATGTCTGACCCAATTAATATGAAAATTTCCATTGATTGATTCTACTTAGTGCGGTGTACAGGGTGCTTTTAAATTTGATTTAGTAAACTGTCAATCAAACCTTTCTAACCTCCAGTTTGTTTGGCAATATCTGATTCATATTCATAATTATAAATAAAAGTATCTCAAGATATAAACTGTCAGTATTTACTTTACTAGTAAGAACTAAGTCAGTGCAAACTGACTTAAATATGAAATGTCGAAATGGTAGAAGTTGATTTCTTGTAGACTTCTTGTTCTTGTAGACGGGTGTGATTATATTAACATCGATAGTACGAGTATATCGATATTATTATAATTACACCTGTCAACAACTTAGAACCGTTTTTATTACAATACATACAAATGGGTGATTAAATAATCGAACATCCTGAGGACTGAACCTCAATTTCAAAGAATTTATAATATGGGCTTCCTACTTTTTAGATAGAATATAATAGAATATATCTCTGCAACAGGTCACCCACCCCTGTTCATATTCCATCCCCAATGACTTCTAAAAAGATTAGTTGTAAGAGATTGTCTGATATTTTGTCGTGGATTATAAGGAGGCTTCATAACATAACAAATGTAAAACCCGCCGAAGGTCTGCATAATATATTACTTTAGAACACTCTATCACGTTTCTAATAAATAAAGTTAAACTTTCTAAAATAAATAGGCTACCCAAATAATAACGTAAAAAGAATTTCAGAGAGCGGACTTACAAACAAATGCTATAGGTTCAAAATACAAGTACGGTCTATGCTTTCTTTTTATATCAATACATCTTTAATAAGCAAAGGAAATTAACCTTTAGATTATATTATAAATTTTAATCAGAATAATTTTTGTTTATTGTTTCAGCGGAATCGAGATCATGCGGCCAAACAGAAATTGAGGGTGGCCCGAGAGGAAGCCAAACCGGGACAAACAAAAGGACCTCTGCCTTGTAAGTGGTTTTATACAAATATACAGCATACAAAGATATTATAAATTTAATACTACCATACATTTCTACTTACTTGAGAAAACATTAATTTAGCCCACCTCTTACTTTAAATTACTTAGTTTTGTCTCCAGGTATTTTTTATTTTACCACTCGTGTGGCATACAAGTAAATGTTCTAATTGATAGTAAGATGAAGGTACCGCAATGAATCTGCTGCGTATGCAATATGAGTATAATGTTGTAATTAATCTGTAATAAATGGGGGTAATTTATCTCTTATACGATTAACATACTTATATAATATATGTATTTACAAATACATATATAAGTATGTTAATCAGCAGATTGGTTATAATACAGGCTCTGCTTAGTTTGGGACCAGACTGCCTTGTGTGACAGGTGTGAAAAACATAATTTAAGTAGCAAGCGATAGTATCGTAATTGAAATAAAGCACCTCTAGTTGTTACTAGCAGTGACAACAACGAATCGGAAATATAAAAGGGCGGTTGTTCAATGCACATTATTAACAATGAGAATGTACCATTGGAGATATAAAAAAAAATGTTGTAGATAACAAAAAAAATACATACAGTAGAACATAGAACCTTCTCCTTTTTTAAGTCGGTTAAAAATCAATGACGATATGAGGTTAGCTACTTGTTGCAGCGAAGAAAGAACTGCTATCAAGCCCGAGTACCCAATCCAAACCGGCTTTATTAACATAATTAACATGTCATATCAGAACTATAAAATCATTTGCACCCAACCTTCGATGATGGTAGAGAGGTACAGTTCTTCCTTCGCGAGCTAAAAAGGTTCACTATATTTAGTAACTTCCAGTTCACGTTCAAGTCTAGAAGTTAACTAAAGATACCAATGTACGAACAACTTAAAAAATAAATTTCCACGGCAGCGGCTATTCATATAGAATTTAGATTTAATCAAAAGTACTCACCACTACCAGTGCTATTCGAGTCTGCAGAAAGAGATGCATGTTTCGCAGATAATAGCTGTGGCGAGCGTAAACCCGTTGCGGATCAAAGGGAAAGTGTTAATAAATTGCTAAAAATATTTGTACAAGTGGCGGCGATACTAAGGAACGACAATGGAACCATGGAAATAATGAATTTAAATGCAGCTTATGGCATAAATTTCACCATTGCCTGGGTAGTACATTGGATTGAACAGCTGCAGCCGGGTCCAAATATTTGATAACCGTTCATCAGGCAACTAGCTGCGCCCTACGGTTTAACCAACGATTTATCCCACGGGAACACTACTTTTTTCGGAATAAAAAGTAGCCTATGTATTGATCCAAGCTGTCAGCTACCTTCATATAAAATTTGGTCAGGCCGTTTGAGCGTGGAGAACTAACAAACATAAAAAATCACACACTTTATAAAATGAATATATTCAATACTGACTTTAGATTTGAAGCTCATAGACATATAGGTCCGTTCACATGTATTTTTCATAAATGTGAAACCTGGCACTGGTTCACCTAGTTTGTCGAGATATAAGATATAATGTACCAAATCGTAAACGTCTGCTGGGAATTGCAGTATGGATTAGAAATATACTATGGATGTAAATATAATAAATAATAATAGAAAAACGCTGATTGTAACCGTATAAACCTGTACACTCAAATTAATTTCAATCAAAATTAAGCGTATAAGACTTATAAGTAACTTGTGGGTAACACGCGCTTGTCTCGTAATAAAAACACTTTTCACAAACATAATTATGTATATACCTAATATAAACTTGCGCCTGTCTAAGGCGATTAGCTATTCGCCACAGGTATGCGGCTCACTCTTAAACTTTGAAGTCGGAGAGTTTACGTAGTTAGTGATCAGTTTGAAAGGAGTGCTTAGTTTTATCATGCGGGTTTTGTAAAATAGTCAATTGAACTGTCAAAAAACGTGGTATTGTAACGGTTATAACCTTCGGTAGTCACTTTCAATCAAACGGGCGGTATGTTTATGTGCCACTTTAATTAGACCTTATCCAATTAAAGCTCTCTTAGTATTATTATTATTTTGTAATTTTCTATTCTTTGTTTATTTGTTTTTTAGCAAAATATTTGCCCGGCGCATGTCAGCCTGACTCATGCGGCGAAGAGGCGGCGTGCGTGCCTCACAACGATACTATGCACTCATGCTGGTGCACTTCGAACGGGATGCCAGTTACGGAGGATCTCAAATGCCCCAGAAACACAGGTGATCATTGAACGCTTATTAATAACCCACGAATAAAGCTCGATTGATTATTAATAAGTCTCGACCAGGGTTTATTGAACTTTGGATGCTTGTTTGTTTTGGTATGATATCGCAGTGTGTTTTGTAATATACTATGTGTTTGATAAGAGTCTAAGGTTAAGCTCGTAAATTTCTATGATAAACATTTTGTGGTAATAATGAGAACGCGCCTAAAAGGTTAGAAGAGCGTTAACAACACCTTTGGGGTCTACCACAGGCATGTTTTATTATTTGTATAGGGTACCTACGTGTACTTTTTAGGGTTCTGTTTCTAAAGAGGATACAAGGAACCGAAATAGGATCACTACTTTGGCCTTTGTTTGTCTTACATATTATAAAACATAGATTTATTTAAAAATTAGATAGAAAGAGAAACAGTTTATAAAAAACATCATGCCAGTGTAGAATTAGTACTTGCAGTGAGCAGGATCACTGTGCACTTTTTCCTAACAGGTCCGGGGACTTACGTAGAAGCAAACTTTTATTTAAATTATTTGAATTTTCAACTTTGGTAGTGTAGTCCTTGGCAAAATGATTTTAATGCCAAATCGTCTACCTTCACCTTCTAAGCAGGCATGCAGTATGGGCGCCATTAGTCCTAAGTATTTTTTTATATCTGTACTTATTTAACTTAAAAAAATGACATTGATGTGATGACTTCAACCTTGAACACAGTCACCACATCTACTCTGGCCACACTCTTTTATATTGGTCTTAATTTAACCCTAAATGTTTATATTATTGTGCTATTAAAAACCTGTTGTAAGTTTATTTTAAATTTCTATTTAACTAACTAAATTATGATAATACATGTTACTACTGTTAGCTAGAATCGCTGTTCGTTACAAAATGACAATAACCTATGTGAAATCACTTGATTGCCGCGATACAAGCCACAAGCTTACTGCGGAAGACGCTGTTAATTACAAATTTTGTAAATTGTTCTGTTGTGAATGTATAACTAAATAAATAAATACTTGATCTTTAAAAGAAAACAGCGTAGCCTTTTAACTATAGCTAGTTCTATTTAGCAATTTTTTATTGTCCGTATCACAGTTTAAATTTCTTTATGATTTTATTGTTATGGATCTCTTTGAGTTCAGTATTTGAATTGAAGTGCGTTTTATTCCACAGAATCGTTCTTATGCCCTAATCCACACACGAACGACAACTTCTGAATTTTACTCCATTCTCAACTTTGCTGCTTTTAATTCCGTCAACACAGGCCATTTAGTTATCTTCGATAATATTACTATCGAACTTAAAGTCTTCGAAATTGTCAAGGTTAAACCACTGCCCTTCTTTTATCCCCTACTTCCCTTATGAAAATCAGGAAATATGTGGTGAGGTCATCATTTCTTAAAGTTCACCAATTTAGTTATATTGCGTTATGCTAAGTTTACCCTACCCATGTATTAAACCATATCGCCACCGATTATTAGCTGGGGGGTGACAGGTGAGGCCATCTGTCATCCTAGCAGAAGCAGGCCGGGTTGGGGGCGCGACCTTTAGTTTCTAGAACGGGAACATCGTGGTTTCCACACGAGGGGGTCATCTACATGCCGTAGATGGCCCAGGGTACGTAGGGGTAATAGGGACTTCCTTCCTAGGGTACACCTGGTTCCCCGGTTACTGGTACCTGAGATGGCGTGCGGTTTTTAGTCGGTTAGAGTCCGACATAACCAGCGTGGGTAGTATCCGAGGGGATTTCCGCACAGAAAAATAGGTGCTACCGATTATTTACAGAATATTAATCTTATAAAATTTTAACGATATTTTTTCTTTTCTTCTTTAAAAAGACTATCAATCTGAAATAATCATTCTTACTTTCTAAAAACCGACGTTTTTATTAAAAAATATAAATTTTAAAGTTTACTCTGTTTTTTAAAGTTTATCTGTTCTGGATATTTATTTAAGCTTTATAATGTCAATTTCATACGTCGATAGTTAATTTAGGTTTAATACCGTAATATTAATAATTACAAATTTACACTATTTTAGAATATTTAGTTCCAACTTTATGAACTTCGTTTCTCGTGACAGAAATTTTCTCTTCGATATTTTTCATATACACAAGTCCGTGAAGTAATTCGAGTACGCTTACCAAAATACTGTTACTGATGTCTAAGGCATTCTTTAACGGGAGATCTCTGCATATTTCCTACCTTTGTGTGCATTATCCCTCTCTACATTTATATTCTGTTCAGTCTCAAATATAACGTAAACAACTTTGGAATCGTAACCCTCTTCACCTACAATCATAACATGGACAACACTGTTGCTGAACCTACACCTATCCGATTTTGTACCATCTTTAGGACATGCACAAGTAAAGTTTTTTTTGTGCATATAAATTAAAACTGCACTTATGCAGTATACCTAGGCTAGGCAATTAGTTAAAAATTGGCTAAGCAATTTCATTGATTTGCTGAATATCAGGCGGGTGGCGACACTTCATAAAAAAAAACATTCTTATTAACTGACTACTAAGACACATAGGATACTATAGGCTATATATAATACTAGCTTTGTATGTGTATATGTAGGTTATCGCGGTAAATAGTAGCCCGTGTCCTTCCAAAGGAATCAAAATATCTCCATGTCAAATGTCACTTAAATCGGTTCTGTGATTATTGATTCCCCAAAGAAACTTCCACCCCCCCTGTCACCACCTTTAAGGATGATTTCTAGGATAAAAACTATCATATGTCCTTTTCCGGGACTCAAGCTATGTCTATATCAAATTGGTTTTCAATTTAAATGGATAAGCTGTATAGGTACTTCGACTGAATATTCTGCTAAAGAACCGGTATACTTAAGTAGTATTTTAAAAATATCCTTTTTATTTCAAAGAACCCAATGCGTATAACTTTTTAGTTTCAGCTTTAAGAAATCTAGTCTTAGGAAAAAAAATCTTGTTTATATTATCTGATTGGTTAATCCTTATATACATAGAAATAATAATTATTTGATATTTAATTATTAACAACTAACCACACTTGAAACTAAATGCGGAAACCGGAGCCCACAACCAATACCAAATCCCAACTAACGGGAACTGACGTAGTTAATAGGTACACACAATAGTTACAGTCGGACTTCGTCCGCGGTAACATGTAACTAGCTACCTGTAACTACTGTGCTAAGTGTAGTAGATTCGATCCCCACATGGGACATCACTTTGTGTGATCCACAAGTTGTTGTTGTGTCCGTTTCATGTAAAGTGCCCCGCGACACCGTATTTATTATCTAGATCAGCAGGAAGTACCCTATAAATTTTCATTTCCTTGAGTGTGTCGAAATATGCGCTTAATAAAGCTATAAACTATAGACCCAAGACTATAGACCTAAGTATATGGTTTTAATTTGGACTTAATACGTCTACGCGTTCCCGAGATAAAGGGTCTTGACAGACGGACAACAAAGTGATCTAATGAGGGTGCCGTTTATTCTTTTTGAGGTACGGAACCTTAAAAAGAAAAGCAAGAGCCTGTAACTAACTATTGCAACCTGGTCAAAACATTCCCGTTAGCTAGGAATAATTATTTTCAAATCATGCAACGCAAAAGCTTAAAAATTAATCATGTGATTTGTATTTTTTATATGTTGTTTATTAACAGAACGATTAATGTTTTGATATCTGTAAGTATATTTGTATGAGTTTAAGTGAGTGGTTTTTAAATCAGGTCTCCGCGCATCTCATGAACACTGTTCGCTTTATAAGTCGTTCGTAAATATTTTCCTAGCTTATCCGTGTTCCTAATAGGAGAAAATAGGAAACAAAACTGAATTAGAATGAGAAAAAGTAATTAGGTTTATAAGGCTACGTAAATAGGTACTTCCGTCATATAAATTTACATATACCTAAAAGTTTCAGTAATCACAGCACAGCACCTAGAAGGGTTAGCTTTTAGAACCTTTCTATTCCTTGCCTGAGTACCTAGATGACCGAGCTTTACTCGGTTTTTTTTTTATTTGGTAAATTTTCTTAAAATGAAACCTAGCTAGATCGATTAATCGCCCCCGAAACCCAGATACATGAAAATCATTGGATCCGTTGCCGAGATTCAGAATATACTCGTATATACAAGAATTGCTCGTTTACAGGTATACCTAGAAACCTTAGATAAACCTACAAATCTCCTTAAAACTTCTTTGTAATGAGACAGTATTGGATGAATTCATGCTTAACTTATGATTTCCACATAAATTGACTATAAGGGTTTACACGGCATAAACGAAACTTCAACACTTAGTAGGAATAACTCTAATAGGCAGAAATATTAAACGTTATGGTTTCAGACCATTTTGCAAAAAAAAAGATTGGTTATACACTTGTGCATAACCAATATTATAAATCTAAGATAGTTTGTCTGTTCCAACAGCCGTAAACAAGACGCGCGATGGAAACGGCAACCGCACGGTGAATCCATGGAACGCTAAGCAAAGATAAGATCTCACTTTGTTCTATTTTAAATGATTAATTCAATTTTGTAATTAAATCAAATCAGATTAGGCTCGTGCGAAAAGAGATTCACATATATAAATATCTTGTGTCACGGTGTTTGTGGTCGCACTCCTCCAAACCGCTCGACCTCGAGCTCGACCGATTTTAATGTCTTTTTGTATCTTTGGTAGGTATTAGAATGAGTCATAAAGTATTTTTCACCCTCCTAACCCAAACTCCCATTTTTTAAATATGGCAGAGCATCGTTTGCCGGGTCAGGTAGTTATGAATAAAATGTAATTGGGAGTGTTTTAATCTAAAATTAAGGCAGTCGAAGTTGAAATAAAACCTAATTTTTTTATACCATCAACATAAAACATCATTTTAGAATAAGATATGCAAAAGACAGCAAAATTTAAATATGTAGTAAAAAATAATAGGCTTAATAAACATGCTTAGAGAATTTTAACTGAAATCTGAACATACGACAAGATATAATCATTAAAAATTATTTGGTTGACCATCGAAATTACGTTTCACCAAACGATAGGAAACACCTGATGCCTTCATAATACTCAATTTGATCGAACCCTTTGTCGTAGATTAAATCTATTAAAGAAGTCTCAGTCACAATCATCATCATCATGGGGTGCCATCCTCAAAATGAAGTTTGGAGGTCAGCAGACGGTACACCTCTCGATCATGAGCGGCGGATATATCAGTCACAATGTTCGATCAATAATGCGGACAGACTTAGTACATAGTTCATTAGCCATATATTTCTGCAAACATTATTGAATAAAAGAAAAGTAATATTTAAAAGTATAAAATCATTTAAAAATATAGTATGAAACATACACGTATATCGGTAGCATTTTTTCATCGCTCGTAAATATTTTCTAGGTGGTAATTCATAAAATAAACAACCTAACTAATGAATAACTGCCCTTATGTTATGAAATTCTATTTTATTTCAGCCAAATACTTTCCCGGCGTATGCCAGCCTGAGTCATGCGGCACAGAGGCGGCTTGCGTGCAGTACAACAATAGCATGCACACCTGTTGGTGCACTTCGAATGGGCTGCCGGTCACTGAGGACTTGAATTGTCCAAGAAGCACAGGTAATCTTTAAACGCTTACCTATGAACCGATATTATTATTTGAGAGCGAAATTCATTTAAATATTTTTTTTATTGACCAGTTTCATAAAGTTTCGTATATTCTACTTACACCGATACTTTAAGGAAACTGTAACCATTTAAATTTGCAAACTATCAGACTTATCCGCGATTAAGACCATTGTGTTTTATTTTAAATATGTGTTATTTATTAAATGTTTATGTATACGCAGATATTTATTAGTATACGAATTATTTTCTATAATATAGGTTACCACTAATAAACATAATCTTTTAAACTATTAAACTTGCAAATTCATCAAAAATTAGGTTATCATTTTCTTTGTAAAAAATCCCCTGTCCGGTCCGAAACTGCTCGTGCTTCCCTGAAATATACAAATGAGTATTCTAATAATTATTTATAATTTTTTCATAAAGTTATTTCAATAAAATGCCTTTACACACATACATACACTCATGACTATCCTCAACGAAGGGGTGGACAGAAGCATATTAAACGCCCACTATCACCCCACTATCGCCGTCAACTGAGCACATAATATATTTCTAAAGAAAGATACTTACAAATTTCTTAATACATAGAAACATACAAATTATAGATAAGTTACACCCAGACACAGAACAAATGATCGTGCTCATCACTAAATATTTGCCGTGGGTAGGAACCAAGCCTACGACTCCTAACTTAGCAGTCATGATCACTAATCATTATATCAACAGACCAATCAAATGCCATTACATATTATTGTATTTTATTCAACAATAGTAATACTATAATATAGTACTTATGCATATAAATTATAATTCTATATGTCCGTGTGGTAACGTATTAAGAATACAGAGTACACTTACCCCTATTCGTCAAGTAGGTGTAGTAAGAGTCGAAAACAAACCCTATAACAAACCGTCAGACCAGCGTAATATAGTAGGCCAAAACCTTATTTCTAAGTAGAGGCCTAGTCAGACAGTAGACTATTAACAGCTGTTGATGATGACGATGACGACGATATTCCCTTATTTGAGTATCAAACGATATGCTTAAGCCGTTTTCAACGATTAGTTGTATTTCGGGAGATTTATTGTAAAGTACCTACCTAATGTGCAGGGTAATTAGTAGGCAACTACATTTGCAGTGTTTTATTCTTGAGAGATTATTTAATTATTCGTAGTGACACTGGTCTACAAATAAATTTTAACATTAACAAAAACGTCGTCTTTTCCCTACCGAAAAGGACTGCAAACAGAATATGCCGCGGTTGAAAACCTTAATCGCTTGTTGAATATTCGTTATTATTTAATACTAAAATGAAGTGACCAACTAATATTTTATTTTAACGCCATGTGCAGCAACCTTTTTTAAAAAGATTTGATTTATCTATACAAATAAATAAAATTGAAGTATCTGCTTGTAAGGTCATAATAATAGGTTTTTTTCATGCTCACACGGTTATTCGCAAGATAACGGGCAACAAAGGTTAAAACCCAGTTTATATTTTTTTGTCTGTCTGTCTGTTTGTTCCGAGTAATCTTCGAAACGGCTGGACCGATTATGATAATATTTTACTACCAAGTAACTGTAGCAAGTAGTGTATATAGCTATTTTTCCTCTCAGAAAAACCCTATAAAATTTTGTTCGGTCCGGGAATCGAACCCACTAAGGCAGTGCTTTTCAAATTCAACGCGAACGAAGTCGCGGGTACCAGCTAGCACACCATATAATAGCCAATAGCAAAAGTACCTATAGAAACTGTTGTGTAAATAAAATAAGTGTAAGCGCTTTGCCGTCCTCCTCACTACCGTGCTCCGATGTGCCCGGTGCCGACTAGCACACCGCCGTTAATGCCGCTAAATTAATGAATGGCATTAAGTCTACCTATGTACCGAATGAGGTACTGTACCTAAAATGCTAGTTAACATTTTAAAACGACTTCCAAAAAAAGGAAGATGTTCTAAATTCATCAATTGCTCATTTCTTTTATGTTTGTTACCTTAAAACTCTGTCATTTGTGAACCAATGTGGATCTTTTTTGGAGGGTATATTTTACGCTTGAAAATAAAGACAGTTTCTTACAATAAACCAAAAGTGTCGTTTGTAGCACACAGTTGGAGTCAGTTTTAGGCTGTACCTTTAAACGACAGGAAACTTAACTTTATTATTTACACAGTTTGTATATTTTTGCCGTATTTGCGTGATAGAAGCGTCTCCATCATCGCTAAAATCCAAAAGTAAGGTTTATTAAATGAAGCAAAATCATTTGTTTATTTTTGTTTCATCTTTTTCCTGTACGTGCAATACCTCATTTTTAACTTATTTGCCCTCTTTTTACTCTTTACTTTAGTTTTTCCAGTTAAATTGTTATAACGAATACTCAAAATAACAAAGGTGTACCTTATTTCAGAAATAATGTCATTTTTTTATTTAGAATGTATTACTTACTTGAAACAAATCTTTTGTTTGCAATGAGTAAACTTTTTAGTTTACGATACTAAACATTCAATAAATCAATCATCATCTATAGCTAAGTCATCTTTCTAAACTTTTATAATTATAATATGTTATTAAATTGTACTTTAAGTGTGCATGTAGTTTTTTATAGACTTATTACAAAATGTTAGTCGTAGGTACCTACTTCGTTTACTTTATGTAAAGTCACGAGATAACTTCCGGAATAACCTTAAGTTAAACTTGATGTTTACTGTGACATTACAATATCATTTTAATAATAATACATATTCGATAAGATTCATGACCTACTTCGATCTTTATTCAATCAGTACACGCACTTAGAGTGCAAGCATCATAGACTATGTCAACGTGCAAGCTATGCTTTGGCGGGCCATATACTTGTTTGCCATCGACGGGATAGACAAAGAAACAAGTTGCAAAATAATCACTCTGAATGGCAAGGATACGTCCAAGTCTTTTTTCAAGGAAAATTCGAACAAATCTCAGATTAAACAAGAGTTTAAAAAAAAGAGTTTTTTGCCAAATAGTACACACTATTATGCTTTATTATGTGGCGACACACTACTACCACACTATGCAAGCATGTCCTGTAGTGCATGCAATGCAAACTTTCGTGAATTATTATTCGCTCAAGCGACTTCAAAGTTTTCCGACATTAAAATCTTATACCCTTTTATATTTAAGTAACTTTTTGATAGTCAGGCCATGAGGATAGTCATGTACCTGACTATCGAAAAGTTACTTAAATATTCGAGATATAAAATTTCGAGATTTCTTACTTTTTCTTTTGACAATAATAAAAAAATGCTAGTATGATGACTTACAGTAGAGTTTCAATGACCTCTTTAGTAGTTATAGTGCTTATGACAATAAACGTTATTTGAAAATCCCAATTTTAATAGTTCTTTGCTTCTTTTCAGTTCCCGTGACGCTAAAGCCTATCTACAATGTGATCCCACCGGGCCCATCGAATGCTTCAGCTGAGTCCAAATACGCTGCATCACCACCCACCGCGCAAGTAAGACTATCCGTCTTAATTATAAATCTTTCTAAGGTCTTATCATTCTGATTGCCTTGCTACCGAGAGGCGTTTACGAAATAAAGTAAATATTAGCTTAAGCTTATCTTGATGCGTCCTTAAGCCGTTGTTTCGTTTAACCATTTAAATATATTGCGTACATTAGCTTTTATTCTAGTTTAAATAGGTAATTTAAAAAAGAAAACTAGGTCTTGAGTTTGCCGTACAATATACCAGTCTCTACTTTAAAGGCATAAAAAAATAATCCAGGGTCTCAGCCTGACAATTTACGAATGCAGACAGCTCTCTCCGATTAAAAGTTTTGTTGACAACTTTTCTTGTTAATATGCATTTAATGATTTAATTTCCTAGTTGACGTAAGCTGTTTTTTTATTAAGATCATAATACTTCTTTTATTCGCCATTGAAGGTTTTGGTTCTGAGTTAGTTTTAGCCACAGACTTATCTATGAAGTTAGAATTTAGCGACTCCAAAAACATGATGTATAAAATACAATTTCTGATTGTAAGGCAAAAAAAAATGGGCACTATTGAGCTCGGTCTCATCATTCCTCTCGGCCAGAGGAGCAGAGAATATCAGTAAAAACTAAATGGTACGTACCACCTAAAACCACCCCGACGGCCAGCCTTAGGCGCCCTGCTCTAGGGAGAACTCGGGCCATGTGATTTCAGGTCCTCCCCTCCAGATCGACGCCGCACCTAATTAGGCCTTATTTTAGGAAAAGCCTGCCTATCAGCCTATCCAGATTTGGCGGCCTCATCACATTTTTAGTGCAATCAGGCCGCCATCCTATCCCCTATTGCAGCAATTAATCTGCCACCAGAGGTCCCCACTCTCTGGCGGCCCTCGGTCGGCAGATGGTACGTACCACCTACGTAAGGTACATAATATCATCGAAGGTAACGTGGGGGAACAAACAAATACTAAAGGTTGCATTGGTTTCTCATATCAACTATTTTTTAAATAAAGTAAATACTGCTTAATACATTACAAAAAGCATGCTAAAACCTTGGTGAAGTAAAGAACAAACGATCCACTTTATCAATGAAAGTATTGATTTTGAAAGCCTCCGAAATTGATGTGATGGAAAATGAAATCAGTGTTTTTCCACGGCTGATAAATATTCATGATAGGTCAGACGAGATAACGTTAACCGATGTCAAACGAAATTATAAGAGTATCTGATATACAATATTTTATGTTGTTTCTACAACATTACGATGCTGTTACTCGACTCTTATTTTGAAGATAACAAGTTTACCTCTGAACTTAATTTATCATTACTTTTTGTCTGAGTTATATCAGAAACAAATTTAACGGGCGTCGTCTGTTAATCGTTTTTTTAGGGATGATCGAACTTATATTACTATGAAACACCGACTTGGCCTCATCACCAATGTAGGAGTCATCTTCATTCTTGGCTAAAATGTACATTTAGGAAACTTATAATAAAATTTACTAACACTATTAATAACGGTAATGGAGTATTGTTTGATACTTCCACTGATTTGTATGAGACACATTACTTTTGAAGACATATTTAAAAATTTTTTGTTATATAATGTTTTTAGGTATCAAAGTCCTTGATATCGGCAAGAGGAGACATTTACGCTGAATCTACATCAGCTAACGGATCTCTGATAGAGTCTGGGGTGACCGCCGGCATGGGTACCTTGATAATAGGCACAGTCTTTGGTGCCGTAGTACTAATCCTTCTGGTATCCATAGCCGCTTTCTACCTCAAAAAACGGATTTGTCGCCTTGATGGAAAACCGAAACCGGTAAGTATTAATTAAATAAGTTCATGGTCAAAAATATAAATACAATGTAAATACGACTATGGTCTATAGATTTCTATAGGATCCCATCATCAGATCCTGATTTGGTGATAATGGGACCATCTCGGGAGCATACCCTTTCGATTACAAAAAAAATTGAAAATTGATCCATCATTGACGGAAATCTCGCGTAACAAACATACAAAAAAAATACAGACGAATTGATAACTTCCTCTTTTGTGTTTTTGAAGACGGTTAAAAATACAAAATAAATTTATAAAATACCATAAATTAATAAGTAGCTACCCACCAATTTTTCACTTAAAAAAATCCGTTACTACTAACTGCAGCCAAGTTAATAATGAAATTCATGGCTGTTAATATTTAGTTAACAGCAAAATTCACAATCTCTTGGAGGTTTACTTCGTTAATCATAACATACAGTAATTAGCCAATCTTAAGCCAGCCATACACGTTACGGTGTATGGTCGCCCTAAATAAACAACATTTCACGCCCTCCATTATAAGAATTGAAACGGTGAACTTAGGTCCATAAAGCCAACTAGCATACCTGGTATTGCCAACATAAATAGACTGATTTACACTAGGATGGTCTATGTTACCTTAAGTGCATAAAAAATTTGTATGTAAGTTACAATAATAGATATTAATAGTCCATGATTCATTGTGCATCAAAACCACAAATACTGATAAACCTAGAAATCTCGTGGCTTAAGGCAACAAGTTCGTTTGAATAAAGTTGTTAAAAATAATTAAAGCCATGAGGCCAAGATGGTCTTTAATATATTTCATTTTAAGAGACCCTACTAACTAGCCTTTAACACTTGACGCTTGTTTAACACTAGAGCCTTCTACGTTCAACAATTTTGTTGTCGCTGACCGTATCTTACTAATTCCACAATTCTTATTATTTTACAAGGGTATATTATTTGAACAAAAAATCAAATGATTATTATTGGTTCTCAACAAAAGCAAAACAAACTCTTTTCTTAACAAAAAAAAAAGCCACATAAATGGAGACCAAAATGAATTAACCGACTAAGCTAACTGAAAATGATTTTAAAAAATACGTTTATAGTACAGAAATGCCGTTCTAAATATAAAAGAAATACCCAAATGTTGTTATAGCATGTGCGACCAGGAGAACCTCTACTAGCTGAACGGTATATAACAAACCCTCAGTATGGAGTCTACGGGGCGGGCAACGTGGTACCAGTGACAGGACCAGGGACCCCTGGAGATGACGATACCAATAAGTCGCAGGTGCTACTCCTTGATCGGAACACACTCACATTCCTGGAAGAAGTCGGTGAAGGATGCTTTGGAAAAGTTCATAAAGGTAAATATTATTAGAGTAATTGTCCCATCTTTGCAGTCAGGACACACGGAGCCCGTGCCACAGTCTTTCCACTCTCGTTTAGGGGAACCAGCAGATTTTCTTATCTTAAACTTACCTCAGTTAATAAATTGAAAATAAATTTTGCGAAATCCTTTAGTTATTAGTTCGTAAAGAATTTTTTTTTGTCTTTTATATAAATATAAGCAATAGTGGGTACGTCACTGAGAAAAAAATCACAGTACGATGAGTTATGTCTAGCTCTGTAAATAATTACTACACTACAAAGCCAAAGGCAGTTAATGTATCTTCTAAGCTAAGTTTCGTGTAATATTATTGTTCCAGGACTACTTAGAACTGCAACAGAAGAACAAGTTGTAGCCATAAAAGTATTAAAGGAAAGCGCGGGTCGCAGCGCCACAGAAGACTTTGTGAGAGAAGTTTCTATCATGTCTGCATTTCGCCATGCAAATATTCTTGCACTTGTTGGAGTTGTGTACAGAGGTAACTTAAATATAAATGAATATAAGTGTATTTATAAGATTTTAATTTTGAGTTTTCTGTTACGTCACATTTTTTAATTAACCATTGGTTGCAGACGATATTAATGCAAGCCCTTGGATGGTATTTGAGTACATGGAGTGGGGAGACTTAGCTGGTGTCTTAAGAGGATCCCGGGGTGGAGGAAGACCAGGACCACCTTTAGACGAACCTGCACTGTTACACGTAGCTCTACAAATTGCCCGTGGAATGCAATATCTTGCTTCTCGAAGATTTGTTCATCGAGACCTCGCAGCTAGAAACTGTCTCGTCGGCGCCAATCTTACAGTAAAAATTGCTGACTTTGGGATGTCACGAGATGTCTATACTTGTGATTATTACAAAATGGCCGGTGAAAGACCGATGCCAGTTCGATGGATGTCGCCTGAAAGTATAGTGTATGCAAGATTTACCCATGAATCAGACGTTTGGTCTTATGGAGTTGTTCTTTGGGAGATATACAGTAGAGGGAAGCAACCATTCTATGGTCATAATAATGATAGCGCTACCAAGTTAATTTTAAGAGGCATATTATTAGTTCCTCCCGAAGATTGTCCACGATTTGCATTTGATTTAATGCGTGCATGTTGGAAGGCAGAACCCCTTGAAAGGATAGGTTTTGATGAAATTTGTAGAAAATTAGACTTGGCAGCAACAGGAGATGAAAAAGCAATGCAAATTCGTCTGCCGCGACCACCTCCACCACCTCAGGATTCAACAGGCTATTTGATACCAAAGGAACAAGCGCCAGTTGATTACTTAAAGCTGTCATTACCTATGCCTGAGGAAGATGCAGAAGCTGCTTCAGACTCTAGTGAGGAGGACGACGATGAGGAGTTTACTTGACAGCCAACTCTGGTGCCAGCTTCACAGTACGTGCCGCGCACCTCGCCCTCGGCTGTCGCAACGACAATGGCTCTAACATACACATTCCGCTCACAGAACAGCATCTTCTCTCACTATCAATGTTAGTTTACCATGGACGTGTGAATGAGACTTACCCAGGAATGTCTTCACTGATGTCGAGTCAATACTCATTTACCGTAGTGTGATATGTTTTCATAATAATGAATGTGAAATGTTACATAATTACGCGTGAAACATTTACGTAGTTGTATAAAGTCTTTGATATTTATAATGTGTGTTGTGTATTTATTAATAATATAGATAGTGATTACCTACTCTGTGTGCCATATGCCAAAAAATAAAGTACATTACTAAAATACATAAATATAAGACTATACAATTAAATAGAATGAAATTACTATTTTAAAACCAATTATAGTTAAAACTCTAAAATAGGACTGTAACACGTTTAATTATGACCAGAGGGTTACAATTTTTTACCAAGATCCTACAAAACTTATATAGCGTGTAAGTTCTATGTGTGACTGAATTGTATTTGTTGATAAACTGTAGTTTTTATAATTATGTATAGATAAATTTATAAAAAATATTCGTTTAGTTGTTTATAAACAAGTAGAGATATGTTTATCCTAGTCCTAGGCTATTTTTCTTAGAGTTGTGATGAGTATGTTATGAAACATTTTTAGTGTTCATAAAAACGCTCAAAGTAGTTCAATGTCAAATTGCATCGAACTTTCTAGTTAAAAAACCTTGTATTTCAAATATTATATGCTCGTTCCGGACTTGATTTCGTTAAATAACTCTTATTGCATATTTACAAGATATATTTAACTGTAAATACTTAAATACCCGACCTATACCTAAACATTAAAATATAGTTTATACAAGTGACTGATCCTTTCTAGATACAATTTTACTCATCCAAATTATTATACTTGCAAAGATAGACCATTAAACATTATGCATTTCATTAATTATTGTTATGTACCTACATATGTTAAATACATTAATGTTTGAGTACGTAAGCAAAGTATCTAACTAAATACTAATTTATTAAAGGTTCTAATCTAACATGTTCTGTTTATATGATATCAATTCGGAAATTGTTTTGTGCGGTTATAAAAAGAGATGCAATCTAGTCCATAAGACTCTTAAAGGCACAAATATCAGACAAATCTGTATACATTGTTAATTGCTTATGAGCAACTTGATAATTCACCAATTTTTAGAAAGTGTAAAGGAATTATTATAGATATTGTAACTACTTTCTGCAATAGCTAATGCAATCACAATCAATGTTTTAAAATAAAAATAAATAAAGCATACAATCTGCGTATCTTTTGTTTCAATTAACTTACTGTTTTAAATACGGCACTAGTTCTGAGTTACATTAATTGTATTTTCGATAATCAACAGCATTATGACTATTGCCTCCACTTGACAAGTGTTTAAGATACTAAACGATTACTTATAAATTTACTTTGTGAATACTATCAAAGTACCTACATACCTAACTGCCCTTTGCACGTCGAAACTGTAGAATTGTAAAGAAATTAGGTTACTTTTCACAAGAATGATTAAAGACTCTTCTAATCTAATTCTTAAGTTTTTCTTAGTTTGTTTAGAGAGTGGCATTTCTAAAATGTAGTTTTCTAGAATCTGATGTTCTTACTTATTCCACTTAAAATAGATATATGGAAAACTCTCGTCTTCTACATACAAATGTCCGAAACATAATGTACAAAGGGCGTCCTTATTGCTATATGCAATCTCTTTCTTAATTTATATAAATACATATAGGTAGGTACATATATAAAATACACACTACATAAGTAAAAGTTTATGAACAGAAACGGGTAAAGGAGATAAAACGTCAAAATATTACGCCGAAATATTGCTCTAAGAAGAAACAGAGTGTTTGATGCATTTTTATCATTGCCTGATCAATTGTCCTTGGACATCATCAACATCCTTGGACATAATGTATTAAAACTGCATACTGCAGTATATAAAGCAGAACGTAAAAATCTGCAAAATGGAAGGCGTTGCTAAAATCAAGTAAGGTGGCGGATTGACATATTTGCCGCGTGTAGGCTATTAAATTTTTGATTAATCTCTCAAACCCACGACACTCAGCGCAGTAGGAAGCGGCGAGGTGACCGCTTAAACTACTACGCCTTACATCCAGTCAGTTACCTAGTTCAGGATTGTCTAAACCGAATGAAGATGCTGGAGGGTCTCGATCATAAGCCGCCCTTATAGCGAAAGCTCAGCGCCTGCCCCCTTCTGCCCCCCCCTTCGGAGGCTCTCCAGGAAGTGCATACTTCAATACTAATATAACTTCATGAAATATACGCCTACGTGAATATGAATTTTTAAAATATGCTTATTGTGATTTAACATTACAATTTAAATAAGTCATTTTGACTAACTTGTTTACCAAACATCACTCAGGGCGGCATGGGGCCCTAGAATATGCCTCCGCCGTCGACGAATTAGGTCCGAGTGAAAATCTTCCTCCGCCGTCTCCTTCCGCGCGATTACAAGCTGGGCAAATTGTCCAGGCGGTACTCAATTCATTTGTAGCGAACAAGAGCAAGCACTTCCCAAAGGACCTGCGTCAGTTGGAAGGAAAGAATCCCGTGCTGCCGACGATGACCGGCTGGAGCTCCTCCACAATTGTCAAAGCACATGGAGCCTTCAGCACCCGTGATAGTGGAGTGCTTCCCTGATCCATGCCACCACAGCACTTTGGTCAAGGCCCTCATAGCCCTCGAGGCCGATAGTCAAACGCGTGGCTCGGAACCCAAATTGGGTGTCTGACAAATCGAGGCCGACCTCGAATATCCGAGGGGATTTCCGCACAGAAAAAAGTTTACACAGCGTTTGTCCACACTGACGTAGAAGTCCTATAAAATGTTTAAATATTGCTTACTAAGGCTAATTAACAACTTCAGGTCAATATAGTTTCTAGACTGAAAATAGGAAAAAACGATATTACATCACTTTCTTCCATAACATTGGAACTTTTATGATAATTTCATTATGATCAATCAAAAAAATCTTTTCTTCATTTAGATTATTAATTTTTAGTTTACAGCGTTTCTGATAAAGGCCCCTGAGGGCTTTTAAGCGAGACTTAGAAATTAGAATTTTGGACGCTTATGATGACTATAAATCTTTGGTTCTGATTGTTTTACTACACTGTAGCCCGAAATTAATGGGTAAGGGTGTTATATGCTTCGAGAAAAGGATTAAGTTGGTCTAGCGATTGTCCATGTTAAAGCGCGAACCATACCCGTTGGGAACTCGCACGACCTGTGTCACTAGCTAAAATTATCTAAGGTACAATAACATTTTTAAGAAATGATTATTTAGGAATTCTCGTTTGTCAAGACATTCCAAAGCGATTACTTGCCCAGCCACTTGCCCCGTATACAAGCACCATTATCATAGTACTAAACTGTGTCAAATCTAAAATGAACAAGACCTTGATTAAAGAAACTAATACTACTACTACTAACTAAAGATACTTGTAGACCGCGCAAACAGAATGAACATTATATCGACCAAACGAGTACCTGGTGCATGCTAATAAGGCAAATGACCCGCGTCTTAGCCCGCTAAAATTACTTTACTATGTTCAAGTACCCTGAAATTAAAAGACTAGTGTTCCAACCTAGATGTAGCATTGAATTGCCAACAGAAAAAAAACCAGTTTTTAATAATTCTGATACTGTCATTTGCTGTCATTTACGTTCGTGTTTGCTTCGTTCTCATCATGTTCTCATTGCGGTTTTCGGCGAATGTAAAATAATTGATTTTTTTTTCAAAATGTAAACACATTTTATGAGGCAATAAATGTGAATCTTATAAGTATTTGTGAGAAATATTTTTTTTAACATGCCTCCGGTTAATTCTAAAGTGAAAAAGAATGGGACAGAGTACGAGGTAAATATTACAAGTTTTGCTTATATAGAGCTTTCTCAAACAACTGATTTTTATGTATGATTTTTTCAACAAAATATATTTTTTTGTATATTCGTGTTGTAACTTGAGTATTTACTAGGAAAACTCGATTTCAATTTACATTAAGAATAAGCTAACACAAAACAAAATGCCTATACATCAAAAACTTGTGTTAAAGAAGTGAAGAAACTACTATATTGCTGTTCAGACAGACTGGCTGGGTTATTAACATTACAATTATAATAATAATACATGCTTGTCTGTCTTGCCATATTTACATAACATTGGTAGACTGGTATTATAAACGAAGTTGACAGTACTGAGCTTACAATTTAAACAGCATATAAAATGTAGCTAAGTAAGGTATGATAATCTAAAAATTAAATTTGACATTATGAATACACACAATATAATAATGAAAAAATACTTTAACAATAGAACTTGTTCATTTGTTTTTAATAAAATAATATCTTTAATAATATTATATTAATAAGCTAAAGTAAAGTTAAAAATAATAATTTGTACTCACTATCAGTCAACTATATTTTATTGTCGGGAAACAAAATCTTTTAACAAGAAAATGCAATGGAATATCAAGGTACCTTTGAAATTTTTTAAAAATTTTGCTCTAGGAAATTGCATCTAAAGCAGCATAAATAAATCCAAATGTCAATAAGAATATAAAAAAGAAAACAACAATTATTGACTTCTAATGTCAATTTCATTCATATTCAACTAAATAAAAACATTTTAGAAACCAATCAGCCAGAAACCAGTTGCAGAAGCTGTGTTATCTAATAACTTTTGGATGCTTTCTATAAATTTCACTCTTTTAAATTCCTGTTAAAATTTTTGTTAGTTTTGCTCTCTACTTGTATTTCTTATGCAACGCAAATATGGAGGAAGTGAATGCAAGTTGCGTGTCACACATTCTAAGAATCCAATTAAATTTTCAAAGAGTTACAGAAAACTTTGCATACCCGCTTTGCCATGGTTTCACTACAGAGTACTTTTATCTCGGTTAATAAATGATATCTGACGATATGTGACGGATTAACAATATAAAGTGTCACCACCCCTATTCATCCCATGGGTGTTTTAAGAGCCAACTAAGAGAGTAAACTATGCAGGACAACAGCACTGCAAACAGAAGGAAAACTTGAAACAAACCCTATACCAAGCCGTCTGGCCAGCATGGTATAGTAGGCCAAATCCTCCTTTCTAAGAAGAGGCCTATATCCAGCAGTGGACTAGTAAAGGCTGTTGATGGTTGATGATGATAATAAATAGATGATTTACCAAAATAAAGGGTAAATGTCAAAAGTATTTCTGCAACATGATATGCCATTAATTATAATAAAGGTTTAACATGACGTTCGATTGCCATAACATTGTGCTCAGGCAATATTAAAAAGCAGTTTTTGTGGTTGAGAACTATGTTGGAGGTCTTAAATTCCATATTAACAACATTATAACATAAGTTTCAGAATTGTTTTGAACTCTACTAATTCAATCATTGTTTTTCAGAATATCATTGCAAGCAAATGCACAGCACTGGATTTTGAACAATACATTCAAGATAATAAGACCTTATTGATGAATGATCCTCTCAGGGACATATTATTGTACCCCAGTGATGATGTTTCTGTAAGTCTGTAAGACTATCTTATTAAACTTTTTATTTCTAAACAAACAAACACATCAGCGTTGTCGATAGTAGTCTCAGAAAATAACTATTATCACTTGTACATAGCTAATCTGTTAGCCGATCCATACCTCTACTCAGACAGTACGAATGCAAGTAGGAATCTGCAATACAAATACATCAATGTACAACTTTCAGGCTTAAGATACCTATTTTTATCACAAAAGTACACAGTTTAAAAAGAAACAAATACTTTGACTTGACCAACAAAATAACTTAAAATAGTTATTTCCGTATACCATGGAAGTGCGTGTGAGAGGTATACCAGCTAAATCCCTCTATAAACTGTTTAAAGACCTTGGATTGCCAGAGCTTCAGTAAACTCTTTTCTTGAACTAATATCCAAAGGGGCATTGCTAGGCTTGTATTGAATATGGTTACGTAGAGGGGGCAATACAGCAGTCAGTGGAGGTGACTCCTGGGTCGCAATTCTAAAGTGCTGTCGAAGTTGCATGTGTTGATCTACCATATCTTTAAATTGCTAAATAGGTTTGAATGTGTGGTGGAAAGTGGAAAGGACACTTATAAAAGAAAAAAACATCCAATAATTATGATCAAATGTAAAAAACTCTGAAGACAAAATTTTTTTAGATAGAATTATTTTCTTGAGACATCGTGATATTTAAATAATAATCGCAACTTTATAACATTTCTGAACTTGTTCATTAATGCGGTCAAGATGTGAAGTACAATGGTCTAACTATAAACTGTGTTCAGAGTGTTGTGCTGCCTCGTCGTTGGAGAACTGTTACAACCGCTGTTCCGGATGTAAGAACCGCGGCGTCCTGCCCTCTGTTAACTAGGCAGGCTCTGCTGAGTTATGCATCCAGTTGGAACCTCATACATTATAAATTCAGTAACTACTCCGGCACCTATCTCAACCTGCCCAGGTAAGACATACCTACTGGTGTATTTCAATAACTTATAACATAACAGGAATAATCAAATAACACATGTGACATAGTAGAATATTGCAATATCTTATAGTCGTTGATCCGCGCAACTTTTTTGCAAAACTTCGCAGACGAAGCTAACTACATTTTCCACATTTGTGCAACGATTTTCATTTATGTTTGATTCCTATTCGTCGTAGCGTTATGTTATATAGCCTTCCTTAATAAATGCGCTATCCAACACTAAAAGATTTTCTTTAATTTGATGTGTTAGTTCCTGAGATTTCAGTTAAACAAACAAACAAACTCCTCAGCTGTAAAATATTAGTATAGAAAAGTTAAAAAGTATGTTAATTAATACAGAGTTTGATATTTATTTCTATGCCATTGCGTTGTTTATTTAAAACTAATTACGCAAATCTCTAAAACCAGATTCCAATTTTGCCAATGGCTAAACAAATTAATCTTAATAATATTATAAAGGCGAAAGTTTGTATATATGTATAGATGTTTGTTGCTCTTTCACGCAAAAACGGCTAAACAGATTTGGATGAAATTGGCACAGAGAACCATTATTTAAAAATGTAGTGTTCCCGTGAGATGAGCAAGATACAACAACAACCTCGGTCAAAACCGCGGGGCGCAGTTTTGACCGAGGTTTATTTAATATAATACATTTTTTGGAGCATCATTTTCAATCGGTTACTGGATTCTTATCTAAACCAATGCAAGCTAGTTGCATGATATGTGTAAAAACTCTAACAAATACTGGTTGCTCATTAGTAGTACAATTAACATACTTTACATGTCCATGAACAATGTATGGTCAACAAATAAAAGTGTGTTACATGCTCAAGGCCACCTCTTATCAGATCCATGATTTATATGTCCTCGCACTGCAATAAAACCCTATATGATAAATACTATAAATATTATATTATAATTGAGAATATATAGGATATTTTATAGTAATAACATTATTGGCCCTTTTTTTCCTGTGCCTAAAATCCCCTCGGATACCACCCATCGGTGGGATGGTTATGTCGGACTCGAACCGACCAAAAACCGCACACCGTCTCGGGTACCAGTTGCCGGGGAACCAGATGTACCCTAGAAAGGAAATCCCTGGTACCCCGACGTACCTCAGACCATCTACGGCGTGTAGATGGTGTGTGGTCCCCCTTGTGCTGCGTTGTGTGCAGCGCGTGTCGTTACCACCCCGGCGTGACAGATGTACGGTGACAGACAGCCTGACCTACCGCTCCCAAGCCTGCGCTTATGGAGAACGAAGATCGTTCTGGTACCTGGCCAGTTCCCGGGCCTAGCGGGCCGGGAGAGTAAACTTTTCCCGATCCCGCTCCGCTATCTCCTTCGCAAGCATTACTTGCTCGCAGAAGGAGACGGCGGAGTACCATAGCCGCAATCATGTTACCGAGAGAGAATGAGATGAGAATGAGAGAATTCCTTCTGCGATGGTTGCCACGAGGTCGCGCCTCTGCTCAACCCACACCGGGCATTCTGCCAGCGTGTGGAGCGCCGTGTCCACGGTCCGTCCATCGCAGTGGTGGTATTCAAGCTTGTGTGGCTCCTTGCGGATCAGACACAGGTAATCCCCGAAGCACCCTTTCCCGATGATCACCTGAGTCAGCTGGTATTAGAAGGTTCCGTGATGCCTCTCGAGCCAATACGATCAACACTTCATGTACACTATCGTACCTAACTCCATACACAATGGGATTGGTATGCGATTAAAACCAAACTGTATTCCGTGATTAGCTATTGCCTAAACTTCAAGTAATACCTAGGAAGTAATCCCCTTGGCAGCTTAAATAGGCAATTCCACTGCAAAGTGCAACCTTTCTTATTCAAAGAGACGAGCGCAATAGATGCCGTTACTGCTAATGTTAGGGTGATGCCATCACAATGATTCAAGACGAACACATAAAAAACAATGAAATCATAATTCACAAAAACAAACGTTATGAATGTTTTCACGGAAGTTTCACTGGCTATTTGAATAATCTTTGCAAGTTAACGGTGTTTATATCAACTATGAGCATAGTTTTTTTAAATCCTATTTGCATAATTTACTTACTAAAGTATTATATTCTACGAGATCATGCCAAAATAGGCCGATCTTGACATACACTAGTGTGACGTTGAACTCTAGGTAGGTCATTATGGTAAGAGATACTGATACTGATGTGAGATTAATTTAAGATATTTAAGGATTAAATTATATCTCCTTTAGCTCCAATGCATTTATTAGATCAATCAATAATTTTTAACATTAATATTTTATTTTTTATAATCGTAATTGGTGAATATTAGATACGCCTTTCACCCAGGCATCTATGGCCAGGTCTCTATGACCTTGTTTGTGGTGTGTCATGAGTATACTGGATACCCTTACTAGACTTGCACGACAGCCGGGTATGCCGGGATTGTACCGGAATTTTACGTCTTGTCCCGTGTCCAGTAATCAGATCCATTTGGTTAGTTAGTATTATTAGGTTTCTAATAAAAATTAATAATAAAATCAACATATAAGTGTATTAATAAGTAAAAGGAGTACTCAGTTTTATTTATGTTTAATGTATTGATTTCCTACCAAAGTAACAAACGAACCATAAAGATATGCTCTACTTTTTTATGTCATCATAATATTCTTCATCATAATTTTATAACTGGCTTTGATTCCATACTTGCTGGTTAACATTTACATACCAATCAATACGTATTAGATATCTAATTAGATACCCACCAATTTAATTTCATGTAAGTATCTATTTTTACTGATGCCCCGACCCGACACGAAATTGTCCCGGACAAGTTTCGATCCAGAAACTCCAACTGTTATGCAAACCAAGTGCACCCACCCTACCATAAACCCCGCTCGGTGACTAATTTTACCCTACTCCCCTCATATCCACAGCTCTATCTTGAACTACACGTTGTTATTTAATCATTTAAAGTAATCAAACAGTAAGGCTAAGAAAAACTTCCTAATTCTGCCTCATAAGAAAACAACAAAATGATAGTGTAGCATCCTTAATTATACCGTAGTTTAGGCTATTACATTTCAAGGTTGGTACTAATTTACTCTGCTCACGACAATTTATAGATCATTAGTAAGGAATTTCCTCAACGGGAACATTAAAGTCCTATTGGTATAGTAACATAAATTATACTTGAACCCGAAACTTCTAATCAAACAGCAAAACATACGCTGGCTACACAGAAAATGAGATTATTTATATCCGCGACTACTGATTGTGACTTTGTTCGCGTATCGGGCTGGACACAATAAGTTATTTAACGGGAATGTCCATATAAACTGTATAAAATGTCCTTGTCTAGATTTTACTGTCATAAAAACGCAGTCATTTGTATAACATGAGTTTGCCATCTAAGTGTTTTATAACTGTAACACAAACTGATATTACTTAGTTAGGTACATGGAGTGGTGGTCAGTATTTCAAAGAATTCTTACACTCGGTCACTAGATAGGTGTGTACAGTACATGCAATGTTATTATCAGTTCCATTACCGTTATCTTTTGTTTGACAGGCCTTTAGAAATCAAATTTCCGGAGGAGGTTTACGATATCGATGCAGAAACAGAGAGCGATAATGAATCACAGGCGACGAAGTTGGACCTCGGTACCAAAGAGGGGCATTTGCTCAAAGGACCCGAAATCGGCTCAGATAGAATATTCAGCAATCTTGCTTCAAAATCGTTTAAGAAACGTTATTGCTCAATGGTTAGAGAGGCCGATGGCACTTACATACTCGAAGTATACAAAGACGAAAAGAAAACGGATACGAAGCTCACTATCGTCATGGACTTTTGTTCAGACGTTGTTAAGGTAATTCGAGCTTTAGGCCAGCGTTACAGTTAAAATGTAAAACAATTAACATTGTTAAAGTTATTAACTATATTAATCTCTAACGTATAACATAAAACAAAAACAATCTGCTTGAACCCGATAAGGTGATACGAGATATGGTGGCATAATGGTTATAGCCTTAGTACACGACTTTTTGTAGTGTATGGAACTTTACCTGAAGGCCAATTCTCGTAATAAAAGTTCGGTCTGAATTCAGTTACGATCAACTTTCGATCCTACAACTGTTATAAAAGGTATTTTCGTAGTAAAGAATCAAACGTCTCGCATTGACTGTACTGTGATTATATCGTATTGTAACCGAAAATTGAATCGGTAATCTGCTAGTCTTCGTAATATTTTACCATTATACTACGAAAATATCTTTTTTTTTACTGATCTGTTTCTTAGAAGTGTTATAAGAATAGATATTCTTTATAAAACTTCAAACAAATAGATATATTCTAACGTATTTCCAACAATAAAGTTACATTATTCCCCATTTTTGCAGAATCCAAAGCGAGGAAGGTTCTGTTTTGAATTACGAATGGCGGGTGGCAAAGGATACACTTTCTCGGCAGACAATGAAGAGGAAATGAATGATTGGATTACTGCATTTAACGCTGCCTTAAAAAAGAACCAAGACCAAGAATCTCACCCAAACGATGAAGTATTAGACAAAGGTGAAGTGCAATTGTTTATGTATTAAATTCTTAGTTTATTAATTTCCAGTTTGTACCTACTGTTCTATGAACTCCTAATACAATATGATATGATATCTTATCATAGTTGAGACATGTTTCATGCTATTGTGATTCATATTGATTTCTAAGATGGTCATACTGACGTGTTTCGGTACACAGAAACTCTTCTGGGTAGAATCTTGGAAATGCTGGGTGTATGGAATTATTATGTAAATTAATTTGCAGGTATCTGTAGTGCAGACGGCGGTAGTCACTTGCGATTAGGTGCTTGTGTGCCTCCCTATCACAAAAAAATAATACACACATACTAATGTCATCAAAGGGAAAACCCGTTACTTTTAATCCTTATATACCTCAAGAGCTTCTTCTACCGGCAATAAATACTACATTTATTTTTATAATGGGGAAAAAATTACTTTTTATTAATATTTCCGTAACTTAATTACTTTCTTGCAAAGTAAATGTATAATTTATAATTTGAAATTTTTCCTCATTTTCATTTTTAAATAATGAATAGAACCAATTGTTATTGTGTTGTTATGCTCCAAAATACAAGAACTGTATTTTTAGTAATTATTTTCTCTTTTTTATTAGATGCAGATGTGTCGCTAACAGCTGAACCACCACCCCCAACATATGGCACTCTGAAGGGCCTGGAGCACAGCATGAATCCATTACTGATGAGGTATTCCCGTGAAACAGACATGTCGATAGCGATTTCTCGCAACGAGTGCCGGTACAACATATTCACTATGCCATACAAACGAGCACCTTCGCCCGAACCTCAGCTGGAACCATTCAAGTGAGCAAACCTTAAATTTTAAATAATTTGTTTAAGTAGTTTAACAAAACGCATTCGAAGGAGGTGAAGGCCAAGTATTAAATTTGTTTATTCACTTTAAAGATTTTAATTTTAATAATACGTCCGTTATTGTTATATGCTTTGTTCCGGTCTATACCAAATTAAATTTGGCATAGATTGCAACAACGCTTTTTGATATTTAAATCTAAAGAGTTAATTTTTATTGTTTCAGAGAACACTTTGGCCAAAGAATTATGCTCAAATGCGAAAGCTTAAAGTTTAGGTTACAAGCTCCTATAGACGGCGACAAGGAATTGTTGTGTCAAGTGGAACCTTATTATACGTATCTCGCCCTGTACGATGCAAGGAGTGGTCGGAAGCTCACGGAGAATTTCCATTTCGACCTCAATCACGAAGCTGTCAGAGATCTAGTCAAAGACACCGAGTGCACAAAGTCATTAGTAGAAAATTTTAGTTACGATGTTAAGTTAGATGTTAACCTAATACCAGAGGAGTGGTTTAGGTCCAAAAGACAGGTACAGGTCTACTATAATTTTAATTTCAAGTGTTGTAATTTCTATATGTTGTTACATTAATAGAATAGACATTATATATGATATATAGCCTTATCAATACGAACTAATTCTAAAATTGCATCCGGTTTGTACAGTTACTTTAATAACTAATAATTTCTGTTATTGAATATTACAGTAGAACAAAAAGCTTAGCTCAATCCACACTGGATTCAGTCTTAAATCCTATGGTTAATCTCACATTTTATATCACTTATCTTTGACCTGTTTGTCTAGGTGATAATAATCCTATCTGTTAAACCGGAATTCGTGGGATAAAAATCCTACCAGAACAAATAATTGTGAGTCGGGCGACACAATTTTTTTTTTGTTTCTGGTCGTAATGTATCAATAATCGTAATGGATAAATATATAGAAATAAATAAAAATGTTTATCAGCTGTTTTCCATAGAACTGGTCTTGCTTAAGTAGAGATCACACGACTGTGTGTGTAATGTGTTATTTTTCTTATTATTTTACATTACAATATCAGTTGAAATTTTTAAAATGTATTTATATTTCAAAATGTATTTATATTTTAAAATGTATGTATTTGTATTTTAAAATGTATTTAATTACCTAATCTAAACAGAATAAAATGTTATGCATTCTAATTCTTTCCAGGTTGTGCTGTCGATAAACAATCCACACCCTGACTTATTTATAGTTGTGAAAATTGACAAAATACTTCAAGGCCGAGTCAGTCAAGTTTTGGAGCCATATCTCAAGGCGACGAAAGATCCTAGACTTGGACTCAAAGTCCATAAAACAGTGCAGGCTTATGCTAATAGAGTAGGAGCTTACAGGATGCCTTTTGCGTGGGCTGCAAAACCTTTGTACAAGTAAGCAATAATTGACAACTAAAAATAAATTACCAAGAATCATGGGTGCTATATGCTCTAGATTTCTTATTATTTTGATTCGTTTCCATATCTGTGCCCTACAGGAATAGGCCCAGACCCCTTATTCGCGTTATACATATGAAATGGTATAATAGTGGCCCTTCTTGGGACTTGAGTCTCAAATTTTGTCTATTTTAAGTTCTTTTTTGGGTAATTTAGGCTCCTAATTTACATAGAAAAAATAGTACAATTATAATTAGTACATGTGGTTTTAATGAGCTACAGTAGTTTTAGCAAATTGTAAAAATGTAATACATGAAACGTATTATGACTAGTTATGTAAATGAGTGTTATTTTTTAGAATGTACAGCAATGACTTGGACCTCACTCCAGAATTTCCAGTTATTTACCGTCAAGAGCCTAACAAAGTATCAGATGACGATCTCCTGAAGATATTGTCTGACTATCGCAAATCGGAGAAAATGTCCAAACTCACTGTGATACCAGGGTGGCTCAGTATTAACATACATCAGACCAATGAACAAATTACAAGTAAGAAAGTTAGACATACAATAAATATATGTATGTTGCATTTTATGTATGTGAATGAGTATACGTTCTTTAAATTCCTTATTTTTTGTGGGTAAATTAATTTTTAGTAATCACCCTAAACTTCTTTGTTAATTAAATCAAGCACCTGACTTAATTAATCAAATTCAAGTATTTTCAATTTATTTTTAGAAATTAGTAAATAAATAAAGATTTTTGTGTTTCTGACAATAACCCAGAACTAAAAAGCACGAAATATTATTGCTTTTCAATGTTGACGACATTGGAAAACAATTTTTTAGTAACTTTGAGACTTATCATGTTAATTTGGTTTGTGTACGCTTAAATTGTATTAAATTGTAAATTGCACCGATTGACCTCAAATTTGAACACGATATATAAACAGCTTCCGAGCTGTTTTCTGTAATTCATTCTTCGCCTCTGATTTGTTCCTCATTTCTTATCAACGCAACCATAGTGTATAAATAAATCTCTTAATCTTCACCTACTTCTATACGAAAATGTTTTAGTAGTGATATAATACTTATACCAACTCTCCTTTCTAAGCTAGTCCAGCAGTGGACTATTAAAGGCTGTTGATGATTATGATACATCGATGGTGTTGGCATCGTTTATAGCCATCGAAAGGAAACGCTTCTTCCCTCTTGATGGTAGGTACTTACCATCAAGACGGAAGCTTTCCCTTTGGATAAGTTAAGGCTGTCGACACCAGATATGTAACTTGCCAGCCTTATATTTCCCTATTTATATATACATATTATATTTTTGTGTGTTTCTAGATTGTATGAGTAACGCATTTGCCGCCTTAAAACCTTTCCCACTGCCGCCAACAAATCCACTCACATTAGAACTTGCAACATTGAATGTTGAACCCGAACAACCGTATGCAGCCTTCATACATCACTTGTATGTCCGACCATTAGCTTTGAACTTTGAGTCACAGAAAATATTCGCCAGAGCGAGAAATATTGCTTGTACTATCGAGTTGAGGAATAATGATACTGGTGATAATAAACCTCTACAGGTAAATTATACACTTAAGTACAATATTTAAAAAAGTATTCGTTGTTTGAACTGAGACTACGTAGTAGATCCGAATAAATGAAACAAACTTATTCATTTTCGGTTTAACATGGTGTAGGTGGTATACGGACGTTTCGGCATGACAACACAATATCGATGTTCTGTGCTACACCACAACGCAAATCCGACTTGGTGTGACGAAGCGAAGATACGATTACCAGCTACTATTACACCACAACATCATCTTTTATTCACATTCTACCACATATCCTGTGATCTCGCCAAGAAAAATGATGCGAATGTTGAAACTTGTATTGGGTAAATATTATACTAACGTAAACTACACATTTAAATTCCGTTTCATAAAATTCTTTTTAAAATGATCTGTTTTACATTTTTGAATTATCTGTTTTATTAACGTTATCTATTTAAAATAAAGCTATATGTATAATAGCTATATAAATTTAATTATTATAATTATATTTCTTTGCCTAGATATACGTGGGTGCCTTTGGTAAAGGGCGACAAATTAGTGGACGAGATGGTAAATTTACCGATAGCGACACACTTGCCGTCAGGATACTTATCCATTCAACCACTTGGACTTGGCAAAGGGGTATGTAGATTGAAATTTAATGTTTTAAGGTTGCATACATCCGAATATAGAAACGGATCCGGTATAGGAGCACTCATATATTTGACACAGCCAATTTGTAACCAATCTAGGGAACAATTAGGTTAACATATGATTCAAACATAACATGCAATTTAACTAAAATAATTTGAAATGTGAAGGTTAAATTACAGAACATAGTTCTTTACTAATATATTATTTAATTATTATACTCTCTGATTTAATAAAACATAAATAGAAATATATCTCTCGCACCAAAGCTTTCTACGGAAATCTTGCACTTGTCCAGTTTTTTATTCCTGTATTTGCTACGTATATCATTAAAAAAAACCTTAGTAATACTTTGTGTACATTGACTCACTGAGCTAAAAAAAATTAATATGATTCACTTAATTTATTTTATCACTCATCTAGCTTGTTGAACTCAGTTACAAAAATCACTATTAAACCATTTACCGGTCGTTTCATTGGCTTAATTAAGTGTCCGTGTTCAATCTTGTTGTTATTAACTTGTAGATTGATGAATTCTATCTACAAATAATTCATTTTTGGGACATTTTTTTCATGCTTAGACATTTTAAGGTTGCCTACCTAGACATATGCGTATATTTTAGCGAAAATAAAATAATTAAAACAGTCATCCCCATTAAGAGTAAATACCTCAGATGTCATTCTTATAGGCTGTGACGCACGCAAACGTTGCGGTTTTTTTAGTTTTTGTTGTATATAAATAAATATATCGTTGACAAACAATTGTGTTAAGATATAAAGTAAGAAAAGTAAAAAATATTTGCAATTATATGTACAAAATATTGATATCCATTATAAATGAATAATTACATTAAGTCAATTTTAATGACAAAAAATCTTTGAGATTGCTTAAGAGCTTATGTAAAGGGTGACGTTTGTGGATTTTAACAATAGCGATGCTAATCTAGAATGCTGTACTATATTTATATATGACTGTGCTTGCAGAACTCAGGCCCAGAAGTGACATGGGTGGAAGGCGAAAAACAGCTATTCAGATGTCAACTTATTCTTGATTCAACGGTTGCCACACGAGACATACATTTACACAACTTGTTCACACAAGTTGAAAGACTGATCAAGTCGAGCTCTCCCCCTACCTCTCCATCCCCACCACCCTGGAATGATGTATGCAATGCTCTGAAAGCCGCACATGCAGTAAAACTTAGCACGCTGGTGGCTTTTTTACCAACTATACTGAATCAACTCTTTGAGCTAATGGTAAGCAGTCTAAGATTTCTTTTCCCTAATCATTTAAACAGGAATAATTTAAGTGCCCACTAAAGTATTGGAACTATTACTAGAACACCGATATTTTCATCATATATTTATTGATATTTTTTACTTTATGTTTCTAAGACAATGAAATCTTAAATCAAAAGTAATACGATGAAATATATACATAAAAATTAAGTTTGAAAGAAACATTTTTTGAAAAGAGAAATAAAAAAAAGCTCCATTAAAAAACGTTACTAATTTTAACCACCATGTTTTTATTATATGGATTTACTAGCAATCCGTCCGGCTTCGCACGGGTGCAATTTAGATACTACTAATGTGGTATCAGTGTGGAGTAATTAATTATACTATTAGCATGATAGGACTTTATTACAGGGCATCTTTATGTTATTTAGCAATATTTATAGGCCCGCTCCGACCCTGCCGGCCACTGCACCCCGGGACGGACGTACGGCTTGCATTTTAAAACTGTGTATCTAAATATCTTCCAAAATATTAATTTTAATTAAATGCTGTAAACAGCAATTTTAATCTACATTAAATGCACAACGTATCTAACGTATTTAATTAGATAAGGAATAATAAAGTACTGTTTAAAGTAGCTTTGTAAAAACCTATTCTTTTTTTGTAATCTTTAAAGATAACTTCTTTTACTGTGGGTTATCATTAGACATATACCATCGCGGACTTTTTTGTAGATCTTCTTAAGATATACAACTCCGTAGTACATTATTTTGGTCTATCTCATAAGGATTAGCGAGCGTTTGCAATGTAAGTGCACAAAAACATGGTTTTTACGACAAATCTTTGAAATTCTCGGTGTATTATACATAAAAACATTCCTCTCGAATCACTCTCTCTATTGGTGAAAACCACATTAAAATCCGTTGTTTAGTTTAAACGGTCTAAGCGTACAACGTAAAAAGGGACTTTATTTTATACTATGTAAAGATTATCATTATCATTTTTATTCCGTGATATATCTACGAATTAACTTTCCTAAGATCACTAGTTAACTCGTGAGTTATGATACGATTTCAAACTATTGCATGTATTTTATTTACAGACTGTAGAGAAAAGCTACACCCACGAAATGGGTTACCAAATAGTTAAACTAATTGTCCACTACGTTCATATGATACATGACTACGGTAGAAAGGATCTATTGGACAGCTACGTAAAGTATGTGTTCAATTGCGTACAGTTCAAATTGCACACAGTGTTGACAGCTCCCCTGTATATGTTCTTGGACCCTAACCAGCCGGACTTCTTACTGGGAAATAAATTCATGCAGTATTCTGGGTTCTTCTTCGATATTATCGTGAAGAGTATGGCGCAGTATTTAATTAATACTGGCAGAATTAAAGTAAGTATTTCCTATGTCTGACATTGTATATTTTTTAATTCGAAGATCAATGAGTAAAAGACAGCTAAGTTATTACTTTAGTTAAATTACCCACCTACCTACAATTAGTTAAAGACCTCGATACTGCTTTATTTATTAGTTATTTGGTATGTAAGAGAAAGTTGATCATCTGAAATTGTAATGTTTGTTTTCATCTCTCGAAACTTAGTAGGTACTTAGTAAATAAATGAAAATCGTCTAAGCGTTTAAATGTTTTCTCTGTACTTTAAATAATGAATTTTTATTTTCAGATGTCACGACATGAAAGATTTCATAGCGATCTTCTAAATAATATTGACCAGTTGATAACTACAGTAGAACCGTCTTATATATTGCAGCAGCCGATGCAAACTCATATATTCAATAAAAATCTGGCAACGTTTCTTAAGGTAATTCTACACATACACCTTAAATATACTTTAAATTTACTTCCTCACTTTATTGTATTTAAATAAAGGTGCTTTATTGAAATATATAATATATAGGTCATGTCTTTTAACATATATTAATTTATTTTTTGTATTTAAATACCTACTGTATATATATATATAAGATACTGTATAATGAAGTATAGCAATACTTCATCATTGAATAAGTGTAACAATCCCTATAAACAATAAGACTAAGACATGATACTCTGTAGCACCTTTTTTTTTTCGTGCGGAAATCCCCTCGCATACCACCTATCGGTGGCATGTTGGACTCGAACCGACTAAAACCGCACGCCGTCTCGGGTACTTATAGCCGGGGAACCAGGTATACCCTAGAAAGAAAGTCCCTGGTGACTCTGTAGCATCTCAAAATTAATCAGCAAACATTTTTTTATTTTAAATTTGTTATTCGAGTGACCCAGACTCATTAGTGTATACTTGTACTTGCGTCTATATTATACTTACGTCTATGTTAGTAGTTATGATATATATTAATGTATTTTTTAAATTATTTTTAGTCTTGCCTATCGTTTATGGACCGAGGTTTCGTGTTTAGACAAATAAACAAATATTTGTCAAAATTCAAAGCTTGTGATCCAAAGGCGCTGTTCGATTTCAAGTTCACGTTCCTTCAAACAATATGTTCTCATGAACACTTTGTACCATTCAATTTGCCTCTGCAAGCAAACAAAATATCTAAGGATGGCGATGAAGGTAAAATCCCACTATAATAGTAATATATTGTTTTGTGACGTCTTTATCTCAATAAATGTTACGTTTACACAGATCCTTCGAAATTGAAGCTTACTGAAGATTTTATCATGAGACATTTTCTTGCCGGGACACTGCTCAAACAGGTATTAGTTATAATTTACCACAAATATCGTTGTTTTTTTTTGTTTGTTTGTGTAGTGTAGTATAAGTGTGCGCCAAGCAACTCATGGGACCCTAATGTATTTCCTCAAGCTTAAGTTCTTGCAAAATATATAATGCTTCATTGCCTTGCTAGGATCTGATCTGCAGATTTTTAACACTTTTCTGTTTAAAAACAGGATAGATAAAATGTTTTTACGACTATTTTCTTAAAAGCCGACTGAAATCTATTGGTTCAGTCAGCTACGCGTAATGTCAACGTACAAACAATTTATTGTAGTACATACTACGTTTGTTAGTTGCTTTTACTATAATACGTGTCATTATAGTATGAAATACGTCTAATAAGCTGTTACTAAACCGTCTACTTTACAAAGTACAGTGATGTCAGTTTTTAGTTTAAGAAGTAATGAAATGTAAACCTGTATAGCGTTAAATATAAACGATTTAAAACTTAAAAAAAAGCAGAATAAAACATAGAATTATTGGCACTTTGGAGTTTAAGTTGTAAATAAGTACAGTATATTTTACTTTTAGGTCGAGCAATCACTACGCGAAGCACCGTTAAAAAGGCGAATGGCTCTGAGCGTGTTGCGCGCTTTACTGACAAAACACGAACACGATGACCGCTATCGAAGCCGACAATGCCGCGCTAGACTTGCATATTTATACTCACCGTGGCTCACAATCGTTTTGGGTAAGAATTTAAGCTCTCCTCTTGGACAGAATCTATAGATTTTATCCTTTTTGTATATTATTACAACCATTTCATACGCTTACATACGATATTTCTTAAACAGATAATGCACACCGACTCATCACTAAAACTCTGGCCAGTCCACTTGCCGAAAACGGTCACGATAAAGTAGATGGAGACGCCACAATAAACCCGGTATTTAACAGTACACAGAAAGAAGCAGCCTCCGCTAATAGCACTCCGAAAAGAAATAGATTGACCTTGCATTTTGAGCACACGCCCATTAGAAATTCGACTCATTTCAAGGAACCTCCAAATATGCCGAGTAATTATAGTATGTATGGTAAAGGTGAGTTGAAATTTCCAAAAGTAGGTTTTTAGTACAAAACTGTTATGTAAGGATTATTTAAAATACTTTTTAATCAATCACTGTGACTGTTCAACCTCGTATAGTTTGTTTAAACGTACACGGGCGAGGCGAGTACTGTTTGCATTCAAATCTGCTTTGAAGATCTGTCACCGTTACATAATATGTACATGATTGACATTTTAGATAAATTTATTTTTAACGGTAATATAAACAATTAAGTGTGTCTGTTAGTTTTTAAATAGGGTGAATATTTAAAAAATTACGTCGTCAATCATCCCCGGTATCATAATACCCTCGGTAATCATCAAAGTAAGTATACTTTGTTACAAACAAAGACATCTGCATTTTGTATGTTTCCTATCCATGGTGTGCAATAAAAAGTGCCTATCTATCTATCTTGTACATTTTCATTCTTCTCTTATATGACAGAACACGCAAGTAACATGTCACAAAGCTCTCTTGAATCCGTATCAACGATGTCTGGCGGCGACTCGCTTCCAAGAAATGCAGGTCGTCTGGACTTAAGCGAGATAGGCGATCAAGTTAATAGGTAAATAACTCTTGGTTTTTATTACCTCATATCGCAATACTTTTTTTGTGGAATTAATGTTTGTTTTCGTGCATAGGTTTGGAGTGATGTCTGCTGAAGAGGTGCGAGATGTGCTTTTATGTTTCCTGTTTGTTTTGAAGTATTTAGATGATGAAAGACTCGTTGATTGGTGGAAATCCATGTCAATAGCGCATCAGCAATCGTTCTTCAATGTTTTGGAGTAAGTTTGTGATTTAAAGTTTGTCAATGTTATGTAAAGAATAAAATTGTAAGTTCTGATACGAAACTCGTTCAAGTTGCAGAAATAGTTCAGTCGAAGTTAAATATCAGTTCAAAAACATGTATGTTATGTCTAGCAGTGGACTACGATAGGCCGATGATGATGAAACATGTATGTGCCTTGTGTGTATTTCAATCTTGTGTTTTCTTTTAGAATATGTGCAGAACAGTTTCAATACATTGGCAGAAAGAAAATCTTATCAGAAATGAAGGTTACAACGCCAGACTGCAATGGAAAACCGAAACCGCTTAAAGCTCGCACTTTGCCGGCCAGAATGAGCCCTCCAGACTTTTCAAAGGAACCGCCAATTGTCGTTGAGAATAAAAACAACACTGTCAATAGAGAAAACCTAATTAATACGTCTGTCACCACCGGTTAGTTTCTAATTTAATTATGTTACTAAACAGTTAAAAATACCAGAGCCCCAAGTGCGAGTTTATTTCACATCTACTCGATCGTCACGCTGACCGCGTTCGGCGCTGCGATTGGCCCGGACCGAAATCTTTCACCGAACACGCTCGCTGTCGAGAGCGAGTTGATGTGAAATAAACTTACACTGGGGCCTCTTATTTTATTTCTAATAGTTAGAATTTTATTAATGGCCTTTACTTGGTATCGGCATTTTCATTATTACTTGAAATCGGTATATATGAGGCGTTTATTTTAACAAATGAGGATGTGAATGTGTGTGTATCTAATATAAATAAATAACCCTTCAATTGTCTTTCTCGTAGAACTGGAAACAATCGCAGAACACACGGTACTATCGGCTAGCTGCCTCGCGACCGAAGTTGGCCTCGCCATTATAGACCGTACCTGCTTGTTTCTGAAAAATTTGGGCGCTGCCGACGGAAATGCTGCAAAGCCATATCTTAAGCTTTTGCAATACCCACAAAGTGAAACACTATACAAGCATTTGTTTGCAGCCTTGAGAGCATACATAAATCAATTTTCAGAGACTCTGTTTGAAGGTATGTTGTTTGCAACTATAAACTTTTTCTGAAAAATATATATTCTATCCTAACATGTTTAAACGACGAGTAGCAAAAGGTAACAAATAATATAATTTAAAAGCATACTATTTTTGGAAGTGCTAAACAATATCAAATATTCTACCTAGTTTTCCAACGGCTTTCTACTTAATTTAATTTTTCAATATTAAATAATATCCGAGTTTGAGTTCTCGAACATAAACAAATATTAAGAAAAACAACCAAAGTGAGAATGTTCTCCTTTGTAAAATGTGTTTCAAAAAAATTTAAAAGTGGTTTAGTTTACATTAAAAAACCCATGCATACCCAGTGTAAACATGACAATTTTTTTTTTCTTTTCTTTAGACGTTTGCAGAAACAATAAGCTTTTCATGTTAACAAGATTAGGGTTTGCTTTTACATTCTAATCTTATTATCTATGTTTATTGACCTGTTGAATTCCATAGTATGATATATTGTAATAGGTGGCAGCACGGTGTGCGCGGGCGTGGTGGGCGCCGTAGTTCGTCTGTGCGAAGCGCGCGCCGCTTGGCTTCGTCGTGAAGCTGCTGCAGCGCTTTATCTACTGATGCGAGCTAATTTCCAACATGGCACAGGCGGTAATCTTACTAGAGTCCACCTACAGGTAAGTGAATGAAACAGAATATTTCATAATGCTATTTATGTCCCCGATTATAAGTTTATATTACATACCTTTTTGTCCAATTTAGGTCATTATGGCTGTATCGAAACTCCTTGACAACTCCACCGCTCTGAACTGCAAGCGTTTCCAGGAGTCTTTGTCAGTGATCAATTGTTTTGCGACTGGCGACAAGGCCATGAAAGGAACTGGTGAGATTTGACTAATAATATGACTAGTTACTTCGTGTAATTGTTAGTTACATGTTTAAAGGATATAGATGTCGATATAGAATTAGATAGAAGAACTTTTACCCAAGATAAAATTAGTGGGTATCTTCTATAAGTAAACCCTTTTAAACACAAAGGATACCAACTTGTTCAAGATGGTGGCCGACTATGGCCATCTATCACTGAAATTCCAAAATTAATATATTACTAGGATTACCCTGCCCTAAGACTCAATCTTGTTGTATCCATTCCATAATATCCTATGGGAATGTAATCTAAACTTGTGTTTATGTGATAGGTTTATCCAGTGAAGTGGCCGAGTTGATGCGTCGCGTACGAACTGTAGTGGGTGCACGAGCTCGACTAGCTGGTGTTGGTGGAGTCGGTGTATCAGGTAGAATTTTTTTTTCTCACACTATTACTTGATACTAACAAGTCATTGCTGGTACAGATAGGTTAAGGTTAGGTAGATAGGTTAGGATAAACCAAACTAGGCAAAGCTTTTCAGTACTATAAACTCTAAAAGACCGATTAACATAAATAGATATAATTTTGTAAATATTTATATATTATGATTGTGTAAACATCAAACAAATTCATATTTGCACATCGAACATGGAACACATGTAATATTTTATGTAATTATTTAAGTAATGACAAAAGCTAAAGTATTTGTTCATCTAGAATCTAGTGCGAAGGTAAAGTGGTTATGTTGTCAATACACGATTGATATTGTAGGTGCAGGTAGCGTATACCTAGCAGAATTGCAGCACGCATTAGCTGCATCATGTCGCGCTACTCCGCGGTTGAGGCACGCGTGGCTCACGACTCTCGCTGAACACAACGCAAGACAAGGCGATTATGATGAGGTAATGTATACATTATTATGACTTAAGACATTATTTCTATTCTATTGCTGACTCTACAATGGTAACACTATTTTCGCTTCTTCATACTGCACTGCACTTATCTGCACTCATATTGGTAATATATCATTAGACGAGTTATAATTTAGTTTAATATAACACGCACACGCTCACAATCACACACAATATTGTATCACACATAATGTTTTATTATATCTAAAAAAATAAGTTATTTTGGAAAAATCGGCACTCATAGGAAATTATTTTTTAAAGGCTATGTGCTGTCAACTGCACATCGCGGCACTTATAGCAGAATACCTCAAACTACGAGGAACACAAACATGGGGCGCTGACGAATTCGCTGATATATCGTTAAATATACCGCGAGCTGAGACTGGCATGAAAATTGATGAGGGTAAGTTAAACACGAATTGCATGACTATAATAATATAATTTGTTATCTGTTCCAAAAAGTCCGACCTTAATTACCACAGCCTAATCCCCCGTTTAACTAACATTAAATATATTTTGCTAATTTAATAAGTAATGGAAGAACTATTTTTTTCAAACGATCCCGCAGTCTTTGGTATAGTCGTGTGAAACTATATATTTGGTTAATTCTTGGAATGTCTCGAGGGGACAAAATGCGTTACACCCTGGTACTTCCATGAGCCGTGGCTCAGCCGAGTCATCGTCCCAGTAATATATCTGTAATAAAATACAATTAAAAGTAAAATATAACTAATATATTATTATTCTTTACAACAGTTGCGTTTTTGCTTTGAATAAAAGAAACCTGTGGGTTTTTTAAAAGGCCTAATCAAATTAAACGAAGGAGTATTTAAGGATAGTCATCCCCATATAATCCATACTTGAGATTGTCTGGCGGTCGAAATATATACTGTCCTGTTTTATTAGCCATTATAACTTGAAATGTCATTATATACACTTTTATACTATGACAGATCAAATAAATATTGGGCAATGATAGTTTTATGATACTGTTTTTACATATTTTTTAACTTTATAGCACATGTTGTTTTAAATATTTTACTTTCTTTGTTTGAAATACTTCTATATAAACAAGAAGTATTCCAAACATGAGTTCGCCCGCCACATTTGTTAAAAAAAGGATATGAAGAATATTCTTCACGATATTAATACATAGATAAAATATCAATACCTACGTAAACAAAATTCATTTTTAAAATTTAACTCTAACGTTATTTACAAGATAGTCCCCAAAAAATAAGCAAAACTGTAACCAAAATACCTTTTACTCTCTCTTATTTTAATGTTTTTCAAGAAGGAACTCATTCTGTTCTATATAATGGTTTATATGGTAATTTAATGTTTTTTTATGGTGAAAACATAAGACGCGACCTCAAACGTCTTATCTGCTTAATGTTTCAACCTAGGTTAAAAGTTTAGGCAAATCTGTTTAGCTACTTCGTTAGCCTCTGTTGCCGTAATAAGTTAATAAGAAATTACTACAATGATCAAGCCTTCGTTCAAATAAAACCTTTAAAATGAGAAATATTTTGAAAACTTACCTTAAATCCAAATCGCTGGCCGTCAGCAAGAATCTTTTCTTCTTTAATGTTTTCTTGTGAGGGTATTCTCTCATGTAACTCGATCAGTAATGCTGCTCCTGGGTCTGGAAGTCGAGGTGGAGGTGCTACGCAAGCGGCTAACAATGCGGCTACGGAGACAGGTGTGCCAGTTCGGACCACTAGCCGCAATTGAGACTCTCCTACACCATTGCTCAAAGCTTCCTTAATAATCTGCTGTAATAGCGCACCTTTAAACAATAATATGCATTAATCATCTACCCACGAGCTACTTTAAGTTTAATTCAGATTGCTTTTTACGCGCCGTTGTAGGAGCTGATTAAAATTCCTAAATCCTCAATTAAGACAAAATCTATGCTCCGCTGCGTGGTCTTTTAAAAAGGTCATCTTTCTGACTACCCCAAAGACAGGGTTCTTCGGCGCAGCAAGGAGAACCTTTTCGAAAAGTCTAGTGGTACCATCGTCAATTCTGCAGGACAGCAGGGTATTGGCGAGTTTGTATTATATGTACATTTAAATAGATTAGTATATTGAAAATGAAAATGCCAGATCAAAGCTCTTTTCAAACCATGTTAATAGGAACCTTCTGTAACTATACTAATATGGGGCAAGCAAAGTTCATCCATATCTATTGACGTTGAATATTAAAGCAAACACTCTGTATAATGATCGTTTGTTTTAATATTAAATTACTCGTTATGTAAAATACAAGTTGTTGATGTGTAAAAAAATCTGATAGTTATAAAAATAAATAATGAATATTCTAAAAATTAATCAATTCATAGGTTTACGATACTGGATCTTTTTTAAATTAACAATCACGCATTCTGCGTTAATATCTCGAATGTCAAGGCCAACATGTAAATTTTGACCTTGACATTTGTTCGTCAATTACTAATAGTTAATTATTATTAGGTATTTTCAATATTACCATCAATTATTAGTTTTTATAGCGGTTTTGTGTTAAATATATATACATATATTGGCCTCATACCACCACTAAGTTTCCTCAGTAAGTTGTTATGGAACATCATCGAGTACTCCAATCTGGCCACATCCATAAGTTTTCTCTTTACATGTTTCGCCCATTTTGGATTCGCAACTTTAATATCATCCTGAAACCATTCAGACAGTTAGAAACGAGGTTTCGCTCGCGGCTTTGCTCATTCTTTTTTATTTTCAAAACGTTATTATAAAACTTTTCCGAACGATTTATTACTGTTAATTTTTTAGTTATTTCAATTATGTTTAATTCCATATGCCTTCTATCTGGTTTATGTATATTATGGTATATATATATGGTTCATCATATGGTTTATGGATATGTTTATTATGATATACAAAACCAAATGCAATAACTTTCATTCCACCTGTATTAAAAATAGATTGTTGAGATAATAAGCTTCTTGCGGCGTACTGAAGTTTGTACTGGTCATCTGTGCAATCTTGTGAAACAGATCTCGATACGGCAGCAATAATCCTTCTTCAATGAAAGCATTTAGTATCCTTTGCTTCTCATATGTGTATTGAGGGCAGTTCTCTTCATAGAGTAACTAAAAGTGAACATATAATAAATTTTAACAAAAGCAGTGTAAAGAAACTGATAATACAGGATAGGACAGAAAACAGGACAAAATAAGACAAGTGAAGAAATATATTGTACGGGTAATGAAGTGAACTTTTGTGGATGGTCACCATGTACATTAAAATCGTATTCTCACCGACATGTCTTGACAATTACTTTTAGTCAAGAGGCCCAAAGTTTTTCAATATGTATCTTTTTTTATTTTATCTATAACGTAGTAGTGTATTTTTTGTAAATATTTTCAAAATAACACCAACTGTCGGAGGATAATTTATACGCCGGCTTCGTGTAACACAAGGCGCAGATGACCTTCGTATTAGGTCGTAATCATAAAAAAACTTATCGGAATAAAAGACATTTGGCGTCTTTATTTATTAGCACTTAACACAAAAAATTAGCTTTTAATGTTTGGTTTGCTGATATTGAAAATAATAAAAAAAGTACAAATTTGCCTAAATGTTCACTTTTCGAAGCAAAACTTTTAATTTTCCAAGCTACCTACATACATTTACATATTGAATGTCATATGAGGGTTGCTAGGTTACAATCGTACCTGGTTACATTATTGTTAATATTCTTAGAACTCACGTAATCTATATGTCTCTGCGGGTATGTATAAGGCACTGGTTGCCATTCAAGTGTATCATTCCACATTTGTATCGGTGTGGGCGGCCATAATCCTGCCGCAATTAATAGAGCTGTCATCTTGCTTAAGTCTGTATCTGACGATATCACAATACTGTCCTCTTTACAAAAAAAAAATCAAATAAATTATAATGGATATGAGGATGGGAAGTTGTCAGAAACTTGTTTAAGAAATTACTGCCACTATACAAAATGTGTTTATCTTTTAATCAAGGCACTAGCTATTGTAACTTGGTATAGAGTGTTAAGATAAAAGATAGTTAGAACCCATTTAAAAAGAAATTTATAGCTAAAGATCGCCGCCAACTAATATAGAACTCTCATTACTTATACTTTACTTACTACATTACTTACTCACAGCTTACTTTATTTAAATATTTAATTATCTTTATATTTGTTTCCTGTACCCTGAAGTAAAATCTATTCCATAAATATAAATACCACTTTGATAGTAAGGTCCCAAAAACTCGTCATATCTCTTCCTAAGTAATGCGCCCATTTCAAATGTCAACATCTTCCCCTCCTGAAAAAATAATATACACTAAGAAAGATGTACTACAAAATATAGTTCATAAAGTGAATGTTATTCTATTACACTTTGAGACTTGCGACGAGCAATAAGTCATTATTAGTGAATGACGGCAATCTGCGTCTCTGCTGACACCTCGTTCCTGTTTAGAGCAACCAACCTTCATGTAACGGGGACTACCTCCCGCATTCGACGCGGGAAGTAGACACTTCGTTATAAAGTCATTTGCCAAGTACAATCGTCCTTCGTACCTGACCCTATCGATAGTTCCGGATGGTCACTGTCACGGCCCCAGGCAAATAGGCATTACGTTTTATTATCGAGTTCAAACGTAATTTAAAAAGTTGATATGTATGATTGCCCAGCAGCCTTTACTTAAGGTGATTCTACACTAACATCTGCTGTTACAATTAGAGATGTATTCATCTTTGCATAGTTTAAAATAAAGTCGCTTTATTGTGTTGTACGCTTAGATCTTTTAAACTAAGCAACTAATTTTAATGCGCTTTTTCTCACCAATAGAGAGAGTGATTCAGCAGGCAGGTTTGTATGTATAATACATGCATATTATAGGAGAGAAAATCCGAGAATTTCAAAGATTATTTAAATACTCAAATTCTTTGTTCTAAAGTTGGTTTTGATCTAGACAGCTCCCCTTGATTTTGATCTGGACAGCTCATCTTGGTTCTGATTAAAATTTATCGGTCTTACTATAAGATTTATGCGTATATTTTATAAACTGTACCTCAAAGCGACAACTTTTTAGGCGTTGAAAGTATGTATTCCATTTTTATTTATTTTTATCCAATGGCAGTTTCTTTTAAAGATATTTTTAATTAAAAAGCATCTAGTTTATGAAATCGTAAACAATCCGTATGGTATATAGTAGGGTGGTGGCATCCTCTGGGGGATTTATTTGGATATTTCATTTATGCCTAATAGAGGCACATGTAAAATTATTCAGTACTAGATTTTGGAAGCGGCTTCACCAGCGTATATGCCGAATATCGCGATAAAAAGTAGTCTATGCTACTCACTAATAATGTAGCTTTCCATTGGTGAAAGAATTTTTTAAATCAGTATGGTGGTTTAGGCCTGTAAGCGTAACAAACAAACAAACAAACTTTCTTTCACAAATATAAGTATGGATTCATTATCATAAACATGCCTAATACAAATTGAAATTTGTAATGGCAGTTTTAATTTAATATGGCGAAATCTCTGTCCCAAATTTTATTGCATTATTATTTTTAATCTTAAGCTCTTTATTTGACATCCATCATCGGCCTACCCTTATCCCAATTTTATTTGGAGTCGGCGCAGTAAGTATGATTGTTCCATTCTACTCTATCATTCGTCATCTCACTGTTTACTCCCTTTCTAGCCATATCCTCACTCACACAGTCCATTCACCTTTTCTTTAGCCTTCCTCTTCTCTTGTACCCTTCAATTCCCATACCTAACACTTTCTTGGCAACATTTTCCTCAACCCTCCGCATGACATGTCCATACCAAGATAATATTATACCAAGATATTACTTGTTAACTTTTTATCCAGTGGCGCTACTTTCAGACTCCCTCGTATACACTCTTTCCTAACCTTGTCCATCCGAGTTACACCACACATCCATCTCAGCATTCGCATTTCGGCTTCGTTCAGGCGTCTCTCATTCCTGATGATAGTTTTATAAATTTGTCCTCTAAGTGTTAAGGGTAAATAGGGACACAAATTGTTTCCGTTACCTGCCGCCACTTCACCCATCCCGTATTGATTAAGAGGGAGCCGAGGTACTTGAAATTGAAGCAGACTGTTATCGCTAACCCATACAGCGAAATAGTTTCAGGACTTCAGAGACCGCCGAAATCTCAGTTTTGGTTCTGCTGATTTTCAAGCCAACATTCTCCAGCCTTTGTTGTCATTTTTCCAATCTGCTCTGGACTTCACCGACCAACACAATGTCATCAGCAAACAGTATGCACCAAGGTGCCTCCTCCTGTATATCCGAAGTCAGAGCATCCATTATCAACAGGAAGAGGTATGGGCTCAGAGGCGCTCCCTGGTGCAATCCTACAGAGGCACTGAATTGATCAGTGTTTACCGTTGCCGACCTTACATGAGTGCTAGACTCTCTGTACATAGCGCGAATCAATTCGACATACTTAATAGGCACTCTTTCTTCTTCCAAAACATCTCAGGGTACCCTATCATATGCCTTTTCGAGGTCCATAAACACCATATGCAAGTTTTTGTGCGCACTCCTATATTTCTCACATAGTTTGCAAATATGGCATCTGTTGTCCTGCGTCCTAACATAAAACCCAAATGGACTTTGGGTTATCTCACTCTCATCTCTTATTCTTCTCTCAATCACATTCTCCCAGACTTTAATAGTATGTGACATGAGCTTTATTCCTCGATAGTTACTGCATTCCTGAACATCCCCTTTAAGAATAAAAAATGGTTACGATTGGGGTTTGACACCGTTCCTTTAAGATTACTTCTTAATGCAACAACATATTGAAGAAAAGAGTCAGCCACTCATATCCGTCTTCTTTCAGTATCTTCCAAACTTCCACTGGCATACCGTCGGGGCCAACTGCTTCTCCATTTTTCATTCTTGATACTGCCAATCTCACTTAATTTATACTAATCTCGTTCACCAGTCCGACATTCACATCCACATCTTTCAGCTCTCCGCTCCTTATTCATTCATTCATTTTCTTCATTCGTAAGTTTTTCAAAGTAAGTAGTACTTTATTTGATATCCAAACTAATTGTACCAAAAGTTTTTTATGTTAATTATTACTAGTGGGGATTTCCCATCTAAAAATCAGATTTACTATAATCAGATGTTCGTCAATGGAGATGGCCTACAAGGACGCCATGATGACTGGCCTTTTATTAGACTGGTAGCAGTATTGTCAGCACGGATGGAGGAGCGCCGTATATGAGTAATGTAATACAGAATCACCATTGAATGAGCGAGAGACACGATTTGTTTTTGTGTTTACGTCAGAAGCTATTCGTTACGGCCGACGGACACATAATGTATTGAGGAACTAAGCCAATAGGTTTTATTGTTGGAAAGCATGTCTCATGCGGTTCCCATGGATGTTGCAAACGAATAGAAAAAAAATACAATTGACGATTTATATAATCTAGAATATCTAGATACCAAAAAAATATACATAGTTTTAAAATTAATAAAACCCTTCTTCTCGTCTGCAAAAATCTGTAACGTATGATCTCTGTAATGAATAATAATGATGACATGGCTATCGTGGCACTTCTGTTATTTTGACAATGTATCTGTAATTCATGACTATATATCAGTATATTATTCAAAGCTACCATGAGAAGCTAATAATCTCAAACGAAACTCAAATGTAACTTTATATATTATGAAGTAATGAGATTCAGATGTTGAAAGAATGTTATTTGCAGTTGTATATGGTCACAATTTAATGCAATACAATATGGTGGTGGTTACACTCCGAATTCTTAATCCGTCACCACACAGATAGTCCTTTGAGCCCACCCCAAGGTTATTCGGCTTCAGATAGTTCAGATAGTTTCGAAGTCAAAAGTTTTGAAGCAATTCCTCATCAGTATCCAGTTACAATCTTGTGTTTTTTTGGAAATTCGTGGTCAACGCAAAAAAATATCATCTTCTTTTCGTTTATAATTTCATTTGAGCAAAAAACACACAGTTATAAGAACTATTTTTTTTCAAACGGTGGTTAGCACCAAGCTATAAACGCTCAATGTACTCCCAAAGAGGTTTGTTATCCCTACTCGCCAACTGAGAAAACAGGCCTATGCTGTCAGTGCTCTTTAACTAAACTATATTTATACAGATTAGCAATTTTGGAGTGGATTTTGTTAATACATTGTTGTTAGTTTTATTTATTTAAAAAAATAAGTGATGACACATGTAGTGAAAATATCATGCAAAATCCAGTTTTGTTAAAACAAAATGTATGCTTTCACCGATATTATTTAATTCATATATGTAATACTTACATTGGTCATAGCGCCTGCTCCGTAGGGCGCAAATACGTGATCAGGTGGAGAAGTCCCCAACATAGCAAGTTCTTGCTCGCTAGGAGTGCGTTCTCCATGCGACATCAACTGCAAAAATATTCAACATTTTCCACACTATATTATACATTTTGACACATCAAAATGCAGCTCTGCATATGTATGGATCGCGAAGTTGGATCACAAGAGTAACTAATATAAAGCAAGAGTGATAGCCAAAAGAGAATTTTTTTTAAAATACAAATAAAGGTTCATTCATTACCTGATTATTATAAAAGCCTCCAAAATCGATTTAATAAAATTGATACTGAAATAACTAAAAGCTTTCGTTTGACCCGTTCGACAGAGGTAAAGTACAAATGCATCTACAAATTTTCTAGGGTACTAGTGCAAAAAAAATAATTGTAGATGAATTTGCTTTTATTTTAGGGTACTAATGCACGGGCACGCCGTCATCGCGACGGTAAGACCCGTTATGGAGGATTGGGTCGAGAGGCATCACGGGACTCATCCTCTCATACCGACTGACGGAGGTGATCACTGGGAAAGGATGTTTCGGGTATCACCTGTGTCTGATCTGCAAGGAGCCAACGCCTGAGTACCACCACTGCGATGGTCGGACCGTTGACACGGCGCTCCACACGCTGGCAGAATGCCCGGTCGGAATGAGGTACCAGAACGACCTCCGTCCTCCATAAGCACAGGCCTGGGGGTGACCATCACTGGGGGTGAGGCCATCTGTCAGTCTAACAGAAACAGGCCGGGGTAGCGGCGAGACGCGTTGCAGAGCGCCCGTGCCCTTCCGGGAGCACAGGGAAAATGGGGGTTCCCACACAGGGGGGGTCGTCTTCCCGCCGTAGATGGCCCGAGGTACGTCGGGGCACCAGGCATTTCCTTTCTAGGGTACACCAGTTTCCCCGACTACTGGTACCTGAGACGGCGTGCGGTTTTAGTCGGTTCGAGTCCGACATTGCCACCGGTAAGTGGTATCCGAGGGGATTTTCGCACAGAAAAAAAAAATAAAAAGGGTATGTACAAGTGCAATACCAATATCGCTCGACGTATAACTTTTTTTTAAAGTACTTACCACGTGCACTTGCCTTAGAACTGTCACATCGACCGTGCTGTCTTTCATAAGAATAACTGCAACGAGGGCTATAAAAAGTGAAAACCAATTTTAAAATTACCCTAAAAATCATTTCAGGACACTATTTGTAAAATTCTGATTAATATTATAATGTGTATACCAATTAGAGTGTTTTTGATCGATTTCGTGCGTCATTTTGTCACCGGGAAGATATTCCTTATGTTTAAAAGAACAATTAAAACTACAAACAGTTCCTAAACACCGTCATTTCGGCGTGTCTTTTCTGTAGTACTTTGTTTATGTCAATTGGCTTATTTACACCGTTTCTAATATATTGGCTGTTCATATTGGGCATAATTAAAAATGTTAAATAATCCACAGTTAATATGGTATTTAATATGGTGCCCTCGAAAATAATACCACTATTTTGCTGTACATGACGTTATATTATTATTCATGATACGTATATCCTGTACGTTCAGTCTACAACAGTGTGGTTTTCATTTTGAAGTTATATTTATCGACAAAAACAATTGTCATCGACCAAAGTAAATTTAAAAATGACCAAGAGTAATAAAACCCCTATTTAAACCGTGCCGGTCTCTCAAGTACTTGATAAAATATTTAAAAAACTAAAGTCTATCTAATTAAATATTTTATCAAGTACATTTCAGTTCCGTAGCGGATTCTATCAATAATAAATTAGTAGTAGATAAAATCTTTTATTGTATGTATGAGTATATGTAATATTCACGCTCATTTTCATATTTGTTAAAATTGTAGTGTCATTGACTGATGTTATTTAAGTATAATCATAATTACTAAATCTCACACCTCACCTACTCGTATAATAATAATATCTCACACAGCTTCAAGTATTTGATATTATTTCCAAAAAAATTTTTGTCACTATTATCTCTGACTTCAACAGATGTGACCAATATATTATAAAATGATGGAGCCCCATAATTTACAATATAAGTTATTAACAGGCGTTACACACGAAGCGATTACATATATTATGCAACTTATTTTGACTGTGTAAAAACTTGCTGAAGATTTCACCAGCACCCACTATATACTCATAAAGGATTTTTAAGGTGACTGTTTACTATCAATCCACCTCAGTGTGTCTCTGCCGCATTATTATTAAGGACATTGGAATCAAAACAGTTTCACATACCGGCGATGAGCGAGATGCCCACCAACAAGCCGAGGCAACAGCAGGTGTGTTCTGTGCGCATGCCCGCCGGTACCACTTCTGCCGCGTTGTTGGTCGGCTCCTCCTCGCGGCCGCCCTCTCTCCTGCGCAAACGTACGTAAACTTATTGAACCTCGGCTCGGACAATAAAATAGTTTTCATTAATGTAAACTTTTTGGCCATGAACTATTACAACGATATTTTCCTGTAATATTGCTATGTAATTATCGCGTTAATGACGCTTTCAGCAATACATCACGCATGACCCCACAGAGACTATAATTGACAAAAACATCCGGTTCTTTAAGGTGCTAAAATATCACTTACATTTTCCTTCGCAACAACGGCAGCTCTACATTCTAATCCTATATTAATATTGATTAAGACACTTTAGTGAAGTCATAATAATTGCAAATGTTAACTCCTTTTGTAAATAAACAAGAGAAAAGCAGCATCCACTATAATGTATAATGTCCGTTATGAACGCTTAACGAGCGGTGCGAGGCAGGAAGCGCACGGCGCGCGAGGCGGGGTCCCACTGAGATCCGCACGGGACGCTCTACGAGATTCACGGTCGCTACGACCTGTGCTCAGATGATTAATTCTGTCCAATCGATTGTCCAACGGTACCTATTTATTTCCAAATGTATGCCCGCATGGTCTGATGTTAAATATTTAGATCTGTCTAATATGTCTCGTCAATTCTAGTTTCGCTTTTGTAATGTTATTTGTTTATAGACCATAATTCAGATTTTGTCTGTAGTTGCCATGGATTCATTGAACTGTCAGAGCATGGACTTGTCAGGGAGTTTGCAATTGCTGCTTATTCTCTTGAACGCATGCACATTGCAACTTGTATTAAAAATATACGGTGTGTAAATGATATATGACAGTGTAGTTCTACGTGAGGGTGCTTTGATTAGCCTGATAGTGTGAATTAAGAGATTGCGCCGCACTATCGTGCGAACGTACAATGCCGCCTGCCCTATACCGGTAGGGGTATAGGGCAGGTCTATACACTGAAGATTTATTTTGTGCAATGCATTATTTTTAAATCCTATAAATTAACAAGGATACTAGCAGGGCACATAGCAAGGAGAACTGACGGCCCATGGGGCAGCAAGGTTCTCCAATGGAGACCACGTACTGGAAAGCGCAGTGTGGGACGACCGCTTACCCGATGGACGGACGACCTGGTAAAGGTTGCTGGAAACCGTTGGATGCAGGCCGCAATCAACCTTCCCCGCTGGAAATCATTGGGAGAGGCCTATGTCCAGCAGTGGACAAGCATAGGCTGAGGTATATAGCCATGTATGACCCACGTTAGTAGTATTGTTTACTTAAAAAAATACATTTATCCGGCGACGTTACTTTGACGTAGTGTAGTCAAGAAAACAATATGTATTTATTAACATTTAACTGTTTTTGTTTATCTTACTTAAAAAGTACAAACATCAAACAATTTATCTACACCACCAAGACAACTTAATCCATATGTTTTTAAATACAGCCTCATCGCTCTTCCTTTAAAAACAAATACTCACTTTTTATCTGTGTTGCTTTGGGGCTGCGACAGTCTTTGTATTCGAATATTAATTTATTTATTTACGTGTACATTGTTCCACTATCTTAACATGTTTACCCCAATACAATAATGGACTTACCAGCATCATGGACACTTAACAAATTACCATAAAAACTCAATAGTAACTAGGAACTAATTTAACTAACTTAGAACTAATAATTATTGTAACATATTATATGTTATGTTACCTTTTTGAGTCGACTCAATCGACATGAAAATATGTCAATCCTATCGCTAAGTTCGTTTACAATTCGTATTGATCGGCTAAGAGGCTTTTTTTTAAAATATGGATTGTCCTGACACAGGCACAGCCAGCAATGCAATGCGGAACGCAAAGACTCAAATGTCTAAGTTATCCTAGATTGCAGCTCTTACCTCTTAGTAGATGTATTACATGAGCCTTAAGAAAGATATTACGACGAACTTTCAATTCATAATACCCAACCACATTATTGGTTCTTCCTATTACCTACCAATAATGTGGGGAATATACACCTCGTACAGCTTCAAATACAAAATTTCGAGAACTTGTTCCGAACTCTCTAAAATTTTTGAGTACTCGCTTCATGCGGAGCCCATATTATGCCACTATGCCCCTGATGACTCCTGACTGCGGCGCAACATACATACGTACATACATACGTTTTTACAGATGTTAGTAACATCATTTTTATTCCAGAACAGAAACAGCATTATCAAAGAAAAATCTACCTGCACGTTAATAAACATCTATTTTTTTAGACATAAAATACAATCGCTATATTGTAATATTAATTTCCATTTTGAATTTTGAGCAGAATTGAAGATTTAGAGAGACGACTAACACTTGACAGTATTAAACCTTGACGACCTTGCTGTACAGTAATTTGTAGCACTTACTTGATACATATTATTTCCGTTAGATGCACCATTGCAACAATAAAGTATTCGTCACAGTGTCACTTAACATTATCTTACTTGTAATATATTTTAAACATTTTACTCGGTGATAAGACACGAATGAGATGTTGAAACTTGTTAATTGTATGGCATACAATTTCTTAATGCATGTATTTTACGTCAGTAATTAAAATAATTACATGGAATAATTCTGTTTTACGTTGTTTAATTATGTTGGATGTTGTATAAGGATTTATAATTATTACTTTACATTTGTTAGTATTAGTAGATTTAATTATAGAACATAGTAGAGGCTGTCTTGTACTCGTAAGTAAATAATGTAACAGAATAAGCTCAATCCGTATATAAATATAATTATACATGTAAACAATGGCGTCCTGGTTCCGACATTTATTCTTTTATCTCTCTGAAATAATATAATATGCTACGTGAGATATAAGAGATTATGACAGCAGTGAATTTAGTTAATAACTGTAGCTTAATTCCACACGAAGGAAAATTGCCAACACCCTTACAAGAGAATACCCACATTGATCATAATTTCACTTGGTTTGTTTAGTTTTGTAAGAATAATATAATAATCCTATTCATGCTGTTGAAACTCAAAGTAAGTATATAAGTATGCTTAGGTAACTTGCTTCATCGTCAAATGGGCAGGGCGGCAGCACGGGACGCTTTCCTTCCCACTGATGCAGGTCCTTTCCGGGCACGGCTGCTTCGGGAAGTACCTGCACTCGGTCGCTAGGTGGAAAATGAGTCCTGCTTGTCACCACTGAGATTGCAGTGAGGAATCAGCTCAGCATGGGGTTGTCGTCGCACGTCGGGTCCTCACTGCAGTTATCGGGGGAGATCTCTCACTACCGGCCGTCATACGCTCCATGGCCGGTAGTGATAATTATTTTACCGCGGTCGCATCCTACTGCGAAGACGTTATCTCGCAGAAGGAGGCGGCGGAGAGGGCCCGGGAGGATAATCTCCACTCGGACCCAATTCGCACCCGATGAATCGGGCGTACATGAATGGAGGCACGCTTACCAGCGCCTCATGCCGCCCTGAGTGTGGCCGCGGGTAGACGGGACGGGTTTTCCCCTCCATCCGTGCCGCGAGGAGGCGACGTCCGCGTGTGCCAGATCTCTCCTAAATAGAGAATATACCCGAAGGTGGGGACAGCGCCGTTGCGGGCAGGCGCTAGGAAGGGTCCGGATGTCTTAATAACAGCAGTTCCCGGATCCCTCCTATTACAGGCGCAGAGTGGCACACCATGTGGTTTTAGTCGGTCGCCATGTGTTTTTTTAGATACATAAGTAAGTAGAATGATTTAATGTACTCAAACGTGTATGATTAAAAAAGGCATACCTTTGATATCTCGGTATTTTCAATTTAAGTGACTTGATTTTTTAGACTTCATAATGTTATAACGTCGCACACGAGTTAGGAGCAACCGATTAAAGTGGAGTATCTTGAATTATTCTGTTTGTGAGAAAACATTTTTCTATAGACATGTCCACGAACATTCGACAAAAGTACATAAAATCATTGTACCCTTTGCTCACATAAAGCCAAATAGCAATAATATATTAAAATAACACATTCTTAGAAATCTGTCATCCGAAACCATTACAATGTTATACATATAACCGTATCCATATTCAGGTCTGATATGTGCCTATCTAATACCCCCGTATTAACTTTAAAAAATGATTTGGGACATATTTTAAGGATTCTATACTACTTATGTATCTAAAACAGCACCTAGAATTAAACATTATATTCTTTCAACCTTCGGTAGCGAATAGGAATATGCGTGTCATTTTATAGCGACAGTAGACCATCACCTAAAGTTTATGAGGCCTAAAACAAGCCCAAAAATATTTTTTCATAAAAATGTACTTACTTGGAACTTTAATTTTCCTGATTTGATCCTGATCTTGCTCACACAGATTGCATAATTCACACAGTACTGTCCCATCGACTGTCGCTACATGGTCTGATACACATGATCGTGGTTTGTTTAAAGCAGGGATTCCCTAACTATTTCGGCAAGTGACCCCTTTTCTAAAATAAACTCCTCGGACCCCATAAGCAAAAGCAAACTTGTTGAGTTGTTTAAATGTACAACTGTGATACTTCCTACTAAAATATTAGTCATTCTTAAAACAAGATACTGTATTTACTGGTGTTACGTGTACCAACGTACACGTAACACAAGTAAATACAGTATCTTGAAAGTTTTAAATAAAAACTTGTGTTAATTAATAGGGGTCGATGTTTAGACCTTGTAAACCGCTAAAATCAGTATTTTTCTAAATTCGTAAAGTTTTACATAGGATTCAAAATCGTAAAGCCGCAATGCTTTCCGCCCGACGCGGGACTGTTGCAAGGGACCCGGATTCCAGCAGAATTTTTCTTTTTATTATGTTAGAGGGGCATACGAGCCGACGGATCACCTGATAGAAAGTGACTAGCGCCGCCCATAAACGTCTGCAACTCAGGAATCACAAACGCTTGTCATGTGGCCAGCAGCAACCGCACCATGAAGAACAGGGAACTTGCTCTCCTCCGGTTTGTTAGGTGCACTCGAAATCTGCGCCACCATTAAAACCTGCCACTGCTAGGGCAACGCACTCATTATCACCAGATCAGCCTTATGGAGGCCAAACGTTCTGCTTTCCTCCGTACCCTCTCCTCCTCGCATATCGACTATTTCGACTAGTTCGGGGTACAAATATTAACCCCATCCTCCATACTACTCATACATATATACTATAAAAAAAATGTGAGCGTAAATTTAACACTTCAGAAGAGCCCATCGAAGAATTTCGGTGGTTATTTTGTAACCTCCCGAAATATACATTTATTTTTGTTTCGAAAACTGATTAACCTGAATGTATAGTACATTGGAGTTGGAGAGACATATAAAAAAACTGTAAATAAACACATTCCACAGCCCACATAATACCTCATAATTTAACAGTATATATCCTCCGCTTATCTCAAAATGAACTCTTTTATTCTACTATCACTTAATACATTCAAATGTCATGTATGTAGTAAAACCGGTTTATGTCGTTAAAATTGTTCCAAAACTGCGATAAAATATCGAAGACGTACACGAAACTTATTCTTATGAACGTAACGACACTACTACTCGTTGTGGACTATAAATATTAAAAATGATAAATGTAACAAATAAATAAATGTTGAAAATGATCCGTCAAATTTTCATATATCACACAGTACTGAAACAACATACATCGCTTACCTATCACGCTGATATTTCTAACAAAAGACTGTAGAAACAAAATACATAATTATTTACAAATTTTGTCATATGATCAAACTGAGCACTGATACTTAAAATATGTAAATAAAAAATTTGCTGAACGGTCTTAGTGCATTATTTTTTACCCACTTATCACTGGTGTTGCTAGTTGCTAATGTATGCTATTAGAATGTTATAATTATATTGTAGTTATGTAGATTTAATAAAATAGTTCGTAAGCACTTCTTGGCCCAAGGCACAGGCTCAACCTAGTTCGGTCAAAAAACAACAAATGTATTTTATTTATAAATTAGAGAAGCATTTATTATAAATTATTGTCCTCCTTATGTAAATAATAATAATTATTATATAATATTAGAAACAACACAATATATATTATATAGTAGTATAGTATAGTATGTATAGTCTCCTTTCATATTTCCAAATTTTAATTAAAAGTAATTCTATTAAATACAGGTGTAAATATCTAGAATAAATTTAAGAACTTGCATTCGCTATGATGAATATCACATATCACCTAGGGCTGACCTTCAACCAAGCCGTCAGAACTGACGATTGTCTGATTACTTGTTAATATTTATCAAACTTGAAGTTGACAAGTCGCCACCATACAACTTATATTATACTGTACATTTAAAAACTAATTTAAAATTATGCACCATTGCTACTTAATAATTGCCAAAGGCAATGTGATCAACACTTCATATTGGCAGTCCGTGCCTACCCCTAATCCGAGCAAGACCTTTTAGCTGTTATAAAATGACGGACTATCCACAGAGGCCACATTAACCTTTTGTTGAAACAAAATTGCATGGTACTAACAAGTCACTGCCATCATCAACACACATATCATACGCAACCATGAATACCAAACTAGTCTTTTTTTTGTTAACGGGGTGGAAGATCCTTATAGATGTCTCGGCCGTTCTGTCGGGCTCTTACCAACTAAAAACCGATGTTCCTCTGCTATTGGCGGGGAGCGAGAATCGCAATTGCATTATTCCGCCAATCAGACTAGTCTATTCCCCGATAACTTTAACTTGTGCGTGGTCAACCCGCGAGAGAATGGGAGTATTTTAGGCAAGCATGCTACGTCGTACATTTAATTGTCACCTTAAGTTGAGAATTAAAATTCATAACAATAAAAATAAACTTTGTTATTATTAAAGTCTTCAGACTATTTTGATTCGTCTTACCAAAGGAGGATTTTCCGCGGGTATCTTGTATGTTTGTTTGTAAATTTCTTTAGTACCTCGTATCTTCCAAAAGGCTGGATGGATTTCGACAGTTAAGGTATTGTTTTATCCGTCTCAAACACCCAATTTTCTTTGTCCGCAAAATACTAATAGGTGAATTAAAAAAAACTAAACCTATCGAGTAGCGTATCAAAATCAAGAAAATCAACATCAATCAAATGGTCATGTAATATGCAATAAAGTCAAAGTCAAGTCAAACTCTCTTTATTTCATACAATTTTTAAACCTGTTTGAAATCGTCTTTTATGTAGACTGTAGAATTTCTGCTTTGTCAAATAGTAAGCCAATCAATTTAATAAAAATTAAACTTTAACAAAATCTCTGATATTCCTGTGGCGATCTACAACCGCCCTCCCAAGGGGTTGAGCCTTATGAGAAGAAAGGCCAAAAAAACTCATGGCCACTCTTTTGCAATTCACAGATAGGTACAATTTCATTATTAAATAAACAACAACAAATTTTCTTTTTGCAGTCAGGTTTATGATTTTCTAAATTATTACTTATTAAATTATAATATAAAATATAATAAATTATTATTATTAATTATTATGCTTGTACTGAAGCTTCGAATTGTTTGAGAAGAAGCCTTATGAAACACAGTCAGGCTTTTTATCTTAGGTATATGTCTTCTCATGTGCATCTTACATATTATATAAGAGTTGAATATAAATCCATAACTTGACGTCGGTAACTGAAGAATACACTTATGTCATAAGTGTATTCTTCAGTTACTGTTTACAAAATGAAACGAGCTAATCAAAAATCACAGCCACTTTATTTGCCTTTACTGTTGTACTTAACTATTCACAAGAAAGGGATTTGTTTTTTTTAAACTATTTAATTTGTTTGTAGATTAGTAAAAGTTATTTTTAGCAACGTGATGTCTATATATAGTTATTCTATTGCAACTATAATGGTGTTTTGCAAGCTTTGTAGAACTCTTCTTTAGACCAAATTACATCTTGCATTAAAGTTACGAACTGTTCGTAATCACAGACCGGCTGACCTCCACAGCCATTGATAGGAAGAAGCGTGCCAGGCCCACCAGCGTCTCTCGCATAAATAGCCTATAAAAAAGAGAAAACAAACATAGACAGTATTAAACAAAGATAGTTAAGTTTTCTAACAAAAATATCACTTAAAATAATAACACCAAAATGGCATGCCAAAGATAATCCTAACGCGTATTTATTTTGTTTTGATTGACGTCAAATGTTTGACAGCTAAGGTGTTTTAATTTACTCCGTGGTTTGTATGGGAAAAGAAAAGTGCTATTTTTTACTACTTTCCACGCAAATTTTACGTTTTTTTTGTATCCCTAAGAAACTTCCTTGTGCCTTAAGAAAATATGAAACAAAAATTAGCCAAATGAGACGAGTCGTTCTCGAGAATAGCGCTTAGCAACACATTCGGCGATTTATTTTTATTTATATAGATTATAGTTTTAAAGGATTTCGTTTCTACATTGGTGAGTTCAGTGATTACTATTTTAAATTAAGTAAAAGAAATGTTGATTGGAAGTAAATTAAGTAAAAGAAATGTTGATTGGAAATAAATTAAGTATAAGAAATGTTGATTGGAAATAAATTAAGTAGTCATTGAAATACAATTAATAAGACATAATATTAATTTATACCACTTTTTAATAATTGTTTGACGACATAGTACATGTCAGTCAGTGGTCTACCTAAATAATGGTTCTAACCTAGTCTAAACTTACTTCCCGTTAACCTAAAACTATGAAATTTGGCAAATAGACGGAATAATCTCAAAACTTTATATTTATAATTAAATCATTAAAAATATTTAAAGTACGTAATCAATCATCGAGGCACAATTTCACTTATAAATAACTTTCACAATCATACAAGTAATTATATGGTTTTGGAAACTGAATCTCGGTAAAAGCTAGGCAAAAACTGCGAGACTCGCTTCCTGAACTATTTTTAATATGTAGATACTAATTTCCACGGAAACCTCCATGTCCTGATTTTTTACTATTAACTGTACCAATCGGTTTGTATCAGAATTTGAATATATACGATCGAATATTATGAGCATCTTAAATCTAAGTATACTAGGATATTATTTTAAACAAACTATTTTAAACTTTTAAACCACAAAAATAATTTTATAAATTTTGTCCTACGAGGGAGCGTTTTTATGTTCGCGGAATGGGGGATAAGGGGTGGAAATAAAAACACCAAATTATTTTTCCTTTTCAATATATTCACCTCCAAGACGGATACATTTTTCAGATCTTTCAATTAATTTGTTTATACCCTCATAAAAAAATGTTTTCTCTTTGTCTTCAAAATACGCCGAAACTGCCTCCTTGACTTCATCATCGTTGGTAAATTTTTTACCCCGCAGCTCTTTTTTCATTTTTGGAAACAGGTAATAATCGATGGGGGCCAGATCTGGGCTGTAGGGTGGGTGCTTCAAAATATCGAAGCCCACCTTATGCAACTGACGATTGTGCAGCCAACGCAACGCGGCTCTTGTGGACGGGCGCGTTGTCGTGCAAAAGCAACACACCTTTTGTCGATTTTCCCCGTCTTTTCTCTTTAATGGCTTCTTTGAGTCGCTCTTATATTGAAGCGTAGTATTCTCCGATTATAGAAACACCTTTATCTTTATAATCGATCAATAATATTCCTTCTGAGTCCCAAAAGACCGTTGCCATGAGTTTCCCAGCTGACTGTGACACCTTAAACTTCTTGGGAGGTGCTGTGCCCTTTTTATGCCACTGCATCGAGTCTTGTTTCGACTCAGGTTCATTATGATGAACCCAAGTTTCGTCTCCAGTAACAATTCTACTCAATACAGCATCCTTGTCTTCATAACAAAGGTCTAAAAATGCACGTGAACACTCTACGCGCTGTTGTTTTTGCGTCGGCGTGAGCATTCTCGGCACCCATCTTGCACTGACCTTTGTCATGCCAAAATGATCGTGCAGAATTCTAAAAATGGTTGTATCAGATACTCCAACCATTTCTGCGAGTTGTTTCTTCTTTAGTCGAGCATCGTCTAGTACAATTTTTTCGACTATGTGGATAAGTTCTGGCTCGATCACCTCGATGCTCCTGCCCGGCCTCGGGTCGTCTTAAAGGGATTCCCTTCCTTGTTTAAATAGACTGTGCCATTTGTAAACCATGGTTTTTCCTGGACAAAAGTCGCCCGTAAACCAATGACATCTCATTCATTATAACTGAAAGACTAATTGTCTAATAACAATGAAACCTGGTATTTATACTAATTATGAGTCACTGAACACGTGACGATTCTAATGAGCCTAATCACCCCCCTCCAACCCTCTCATTCCGCGAACTTAAAAACGCACCCTCGTACCTTGCATAAGGTCTGTAAATCGCTTGGTATTATTTTTTTAATAGTGTTGTTTCTAAGAACTTAGTCATAAAAGCAAAACATGTTTATTTGCTACGGTCAAAGACCTAACCAACTGGAACGAAATCAATCTCTGACGTCGCATTACACAATAGAAACTAAAAAGTTTTTGTTGTGCAGTACAGTGCAAGAACCTCTTACCCTGACTTAGTCGACGTGAATATTATACAAATGTCCATTGAAAATATTCATATCTTATAAATTAATAATATACAAAAAGTTTTACTTAGGACTGGTTGACGTTATAACTAACTCGACCGGGCCGCGTAAATGTTGAAAATAAACTATTAGGTCTCTACGTTGCACATTGGGACGGTATATATGACGCTGCTACCCAAAACTCAAATTTTTAAATGAATGTAGTTAGGTATGATTTTTATTTTCTGCCTAGGGTATTCCCACACCTATTAGTGATATTATAGATTATAGAGATGGACATACTTAAAGTGGACTCTGTTTTCAGTTTATTTCATTTCTGTGTTCAATTACACGCAATCAGTATGGTTTCATATTTTATTTATGGTGTTTACATCAAAACATTATTATGTCGAGTATAGATCAGGGTATCACCAATTTAAAAACTACTTTTATTTAACTAAACATTGAATAAAAACCGATATATTTTTTCAAAGGAGTTACTTCTAAAAAACAGCTAAAGGTAAATGGCTCGGGCAAAATAGCCACAAAGAAAATATGTTGAATGCTGAGAAGTCCTCACTTAACGATTATTGCAATTTTACTTTATACTCGGGCAATAAACGTGGTAGGCCAACGCTATCATTTGAGGAAAGATCAATTGCGTTCAGAGGCAGGCCCTTATCAACAGGTAAATGTACAGAAGCCAGAGTCGTTGCCTGCAATGCAAAAGTTGCAAGTAGCTCCTAGTATGCGCAGGACGCTTTAATATAGTTTCTATTGTAAAAGCAACAAAGTGTTGCCCTATCGTTAATTATTGAAACACAGCTTTCGTGTAAACGATATGAAGTTATTGGAAACTATGGTGAGAATATTTTTCCTAGTTATAAAGAAGTACAGTCTGAAAGACCTATTTCTTGGCGTTCTATGGATTCACAGTGCGGGTGCCGGGTCCATCGCGTGGTAGATGGGGACAACACATGCGACTTATATATATATAACATGTTTGGTTCCGTTATGATTTACGGGTGAAAAAATTGAATAACTATTTTCCAACACAACAAGCAATGTCGTATTAGCTACATGCCTGGATTAGACCGTTTGAATTTGCAAGGAAAACATCAAGAACGGACAACCTTACCGACATAATTAATCGTTTGTTCATTTCTTTCGACCCAATTATATTATAACCCGTAACCGTAAATTACCTTATGATTACCTTATATATGAAAAAAAAAACGTTGGTTTGTACATGTCGAATATACTGAAATGAAAATTATAAACATGACGATCACTCTAAAGTAGTTTTTTTATTAATTTTTGTGCATGAACACTAAATTTTTAGTATCATTTGAGTTTTGGGTACGACTGTCATATATACCGCCCCAGTTTGCGTCGTACCATTCTCTAATCTGGAGAAGGCTAAGTCTTAGATAATACATAGCATTGTCTTGTTGCGTACTAGTCACTCGAAGGGTGATTTCAAAGTGTGCAGAACTTAAGTCCAGTTTAAATTAAATCATTGCTTTAATTATAGTTCGATCAATTGCTTTGGTAATGTGGAGTAATAATAATTATAACTTCACACAACTTTGACTGCACAGATGGCGTTATGGTTTAAGCGGTCGTCACGCCGCTTACTTCTACGCTGAGTGTTGTGGGTCCGATCCCCGCAGAGGACGACACTTCGTGTGATCCACAAATTGTTGTTCTGAATCTGAGTGTTCTTTGTTTCTGGTGCATGTATATCTGTTAAGTCCCCCACGACACTGGATATATTCCTAAGGAGACGTCCTTTAATTACGTGAGGCGTTCAGAGGGGGGATCGTCGATCGTCGGTCGATCCGAATCTCATCTAATCTTACTTTGGAGAGCGGAGGGGTCTCGGCAAATACTAGGCATGCCTTTTAAGTTCTGTCGCTTCCATATTACCCGGCAACTTTGAATTTGGAACTGTTCTATATTCGAATATGTTTAAATTTTGTGAAATATGTTTAAAGTGACAAATCTCGCGAAGGACGCCCAAACTCCGCCTTCACTAAAGATAACATAATTTCTGTGAGACAACTAATTCTCGAAGATCGTCATGTGACGTATCGAAAGATAGAGGCTCTATTAGGCAACAGGGACAACTATTCAGAAGATTTTGCATGAAGCGCTTGGTGTGAGAAAGCTAGTTTGCCGTTGGATACCGCATCTGCTTTCCGAAGATCACAAGGCGGCCCGCGTCAGATGGTGTAAGAAAACTCTGCAAAAGTTCAACCGAGGAGAGTCAAATCACGTCTACGACATTATCAGTGGTGACGAATCTTGAATCTATGCCTATCTATGCCACAATCTACAATCTGGGTCTTCCAAAGCCGACTGAAGTTGTTCGTTCTCGAAGCACTTCAAAGATGATGGTGGCCACGTTCGTTGGAAAAACCGGCCATGTTGCAACTATTGCACTTGAAGATCGTAGAACGGTTAACGCAGAGTGGTATACGACAGTTTGTTTACCACAAGTCATCGCCGAACTTCGAAA